TTAGTGAATTAATGCAAGAAAACCAAATACCGCATGTTCTCACTCATAAATGGGAGCTAAATGATAAGAACACATGGACACAAACAGGGGAACAACACACACTGGGCACTATCGGAGGGCAGAGGGTGGGAGAAGGAAGAGGATTAGGAAAAATAACTAATGGGTCTTAGGCTTAAAACCTGGGTGATGAAGTATCTAACGAACCTGCACAAGTGCCCCAAACTTAAAAGTGTGTGTGTGTGTGTGTGTGTGTGTGTGTGTGTGTGTATATATAGAGAGAGAGAGAGAGAGAGAGGGGAAATGTACTAAGACTTCAAGTTTTAAAAACCTAGAAAAATAAGAAAGTAAATAAAAGATGAATGTATGAATGTATATGGATGAAATGAATAAAGACAACAGTAATTAGTGATTCTAAAATCAAAGAAAAATGAGAATAAAATGAAAGTGGTTCTTGAAAAGCTGAATAAAATGGCTAAACCCTTGGAAAGCCCAACTAAGAAAAAAATATAGATAACATTAGAATGAAAATGGAAATTAAAACTACTATGAGATTAAGAAAATTACTGGAATAGTGAATACAACTTTTTATCAGTAAATGTTTAATATAGAGAAACAATTATTATGCTAAAAAAAATCTCTATATCTAAAATTACAGAAAGGCAGAATAAATGATCAGATCTATAACTATATTAGAAATTCAAGGTCAGGCATGGTAGCTCACGCCTATAATTCCAGGATTTTAGGAGGCTGAGGTGGGCGGATCACTTGAGACCAGGAGTTTGAGACCAGCCTGGGCAACATGATGAAACTCCATCTCTACAAAAAATAGAAAAATTAGCCAGGCATAGTGGGGCATGCCTGTGGTCCCAGGGAGGATGAGGTGAGAGGATAAACTGAGCCCGGGGAGGTCAAGGCTGCAATGTGCTGTGATCACGCCACTGCACTCCAGCCTGGGGAAAAGAGTGAAACCATATCTAAAAAAAAAAACAAAACAAGAAATTCAAATGTTTGCTAATTTTCTACCATCTACCACTAAATAGGCTATCAAGCTTAGTTATTTTACAGACCAGCTGTGTATGGCCTATAAGGATCAGATAATTTCTATGATTCTTATTATCCCATAGCATAAAAAAGATGAAGCACTTCTAATATCTTTTTCAAAGGCAACATATAACTCAAATTTGATGTGAGAATAAAGAAAAATATTACTGAAAATGCTCACTTATAAACAGGTATGTAATAAAATCCTGAATAAAATACCAGCAAATCAAAACCTGAAGCATAGAAAACAGGATTGTTACTACTGTCTGCGTGACCTTAGGCAAATTACTTCCCTTTCCTCTGTCTTAGTTTTTTCATCTGTAGCATGATCATTACAGTACCTACAGCATGGGGTTGTTATAAAGATTAGATAGCTAAGTAGAAACTCCTTAAAATAGTGCTTGGCGCATGGCAAATGATCAATAAGTGTAAACTATTATTACCCCAAGAACAAAAAGGCAACATAATCCACTGTTATAATTTTAAAGTGAGAAATAAAATATATAAATGTGAAAACTAGGTAATTTTTGGCAGACATTTTTTAGAATGAAACAGATATAAAAACCAATCTCTTAAACATGAGAAAAGCCACAAATTATACTAAGTGTTAAAACACTGTTCATTCTCATTAAATTAAGTAATATAACAAAAATGTTCAAAGTTAACATGATTTTCCGTATTTTGGAGCTTACACTAATGCAATAATGTAAGACAGCAAATACTGGAAGAGGTGAGGTAATTATTTGCAGATGATATATAGGTAGAAAGTCTAAGTAAACCAATCTCTATTAGGATAAACGTAGTGAGAAATAAACATAGTAAGAATCGAACAAGACAGTATGACAAACTATATAACATTTCATTGAATATAAAATATACCCTGAATACTTTTCTTTGTTATTGTTGCCCACATTGCCCAGGCTGGAGTGCAGTGGGGCAAACATGGTTCACTGTAGCCTTGACTTCCCAGGTTCAGGCGTTCCTCAAACAATTGCCTCCTGAGTAGCTGGGACTACAGGAATGCAACACCCATACCCAGTTAATTTTTTGTTATTTTTAGTAGAGATGGGGTTTCACCATATTGCCCAAGCTGGTCTTGAACTCCTGGGCTCAAGATATCCTCCTGCCTCACCCTCCCAAAGAGCTGGGATAAAAGGCATGAGCCACCACGTGTGGCATACCCTTAATACTATCTATTAACTAACTCAGCGGTATCTGTATCTTCTCATTCATCCTACCTAAAAACTTAGTATCTGCTAGACTCATCCCTCTCTTCACTCCTCACATCCAGTATCAGTCACCAAATCCTACCTATTTTACCTCATATATATTTCTCAAATTTGTCACCTCTTTTCTATCTCCACCTCAATTATCCTGGTTATCCTTTAGAAAGCTCCAGAAAATTAGTGTCCCTCTTTCCAGTCTTATCCCCAAAATCATATTTCATTTAGCTGCCAGAGTAATCAACCTAAAAACAAACCTGACTAGACAAGGTGCCAGTTTAAAATCAGAGATTGCCATGGACTACAGGATGGAGTCCAAGTTTAAGGATACTAAGGCCTTTGGTCATCGGGACCTAGACTCATCTGTTTTTTTTGTTTTGTTTTGTTTGACAGGATCTCACTCTGCCACCCAGGCTACAGTGCAGTGGCACAATCACAGCTCACTGCAGCCTCAAGTGATCCCCCAACCTCAGCCTCCAGAGTAGCCAGGACTACAATTGAGCACAACCATGCCCAGCTAATTTTTTCATTTTTTGTAGAGATGGGGTTTCACTATGTTGCCTAGGCTAGTCTCCAATTCCTGGGCTCAAAGTCTTTCTGCCTCAACCTCCCAAAAAGCTGGAAATTAAAGGCATGAGGCACTGCTCCTGGCCTCCTCTTCCTTTTCTTCCCTTTTTGAGGCCTAAAAGTATGGATCAGTGTTTTTCAAATTAGGATATGCAAGTATCTCTGATTAAAAATGTCAAGACTTATCACAGCTAGAAACGGTACATCTTACTAAACTTACAACATCAATTTTGGTGAAGATTTTTTGAGAAAGACATTTGATATTAAATACAGAAGAGAATGCAAAATTTGTATGACTGCTTAAGTCAAAATCCAACAAAGATGGCACTGATAGCAGGCAACTTTGAGCATTACACTGGGGTTCTGAATGGGGATGGTGCTGACACTCTTGTCAGTACAGATGAAAAGTCTAACACTATCAAACTCTGATCATTTGCCAATGAGCCACTGACTGTAACACTGAGAACTTAATTATGCCAGATGACAGCTGACACTTAATATTAATTCATTTTTTAACCATCTCCAAGACTGTATAGGACCTCATCTCTACTCCTCTCCTCCTCGTTCTTTCTACACTAGCCACATGGCATCCTTGTTGTTCCTGGCACACAGTGACCCACTCTAGGTTCTTCCTCTGCCATTTCCTGTCTAAAAACGTTTTCCCATAGAATACGGCTCCCTTTCTCAACTCCTTGAAGCACTTCCCCAGATGTTGCTTTCTTAATAAGGTCTATCCTGACCTCCCCATTTCCCTTATCAATTACCAACATTATTCTAGAGTAATAACGTCTATTTTCCTCTTTATATCATTTTCCTTATTTATTGTGCTTATTATTTGGTTCCCTACCAGAATGTAAGTTGCATGCCAGTAGTATTTTTGTCTTATTCACTGAATCTATTGTGTCTAGAAAAGTGCTTAGCACATTGTAGATTCTCAATGAATGCACAGTCCTACGAAACAGGTATTTCTCTTGGCCAGATTTTACCTAAAGAAGATTCTGAAGCAGTGAGAGCTTGCCTACAGTCACAGCGTCAAAGGCGGAGCTAGAATCTGTAAGCAGCCTGGCTCTCTACTCTTCACCATTGCTGCATGTTACTGCGTGGTGCCTCTCATTTATGTGGTGAATTTCAAAAATACTTTTTTCTATGTTTCCCTTACTAAACAGTTCCCTCGCAGCAGGGGGATACTATCTTCATCTCTGTGCCCTGACTGGCAGTTTCTAACCCATGTTACACGCTCTATAATTGTCTACGGAATGAATGAAAGCATGAATGAACACATAAGCTGCCCAAAGATTTTTACATGAAAGTCCCAACTGGTTAAATCATTTTTACCTTTCAGATTTCGTTTTAAACTTTTTTTATAAAAAACAAAACTAAAACACCAAACCTGTCTTCAAAAATCTAGTAATTCAAAAAATGCTTTTTGAAGTGAAAAAACATGATTTCTAAAAAACGATTTAATTAAATGGAAATGTACCCTATTCTAAAAATTTCTACATTCCGGTTTTTAAAGCTTTATTCGACGTCAGGAAATATCAAGCAAAAACCTCCAAAACCAGTAACTGACTCGCTTCATTATATACACATGCAATAATATTAAGTTATCTCCGATCAAAAAAACGCAAATAATAGTGCCATTTTCGTAGACATTGAGAATTATAAAACAATCAATCATGCCAGAGAGAAACAAACACCTTCACTTACAAAAACTGACGCTAACGAAAACACCCTCCGGAGCAATACCTGGCCCAGGGTCAGCAGGAGGTAGCCTTCTCGAATAAATGTGACAAATACTATGGTCAGGGCATGACTAATTTGCCACATAATGCCAACGTCCATAGGTTGACTCTGAGAAACTACCATCCCTGGGCAGAAGGGGCGGGTGGAGGAGAGATTTAAAAACGAGGCCCCTCCCAAGCCGCCTCAAAATCTAGGGCCCAAAGATTCTTCTCCTCAGAGCTCCTCACCGTGTCTAGACTAGGGGCAAGCGACCATTTCTCAGGTAGAGGATGACGCACAAAGGAAAAACTGGCCATCCAGCATGAAGGACGAGGAAGCGCACGAAAACAGAGCGCACAGCTGAACGAGGAATCCCCTTCGCCTAACCGATTCCTCTCCCGAGAAATCGCGAGATTTCTCGCCTTCACGGGATCTCAAGGCGAAACCTCGCGGCCTCTCAGACGAGGGTGGGTTAGCAGGGGCAGCTCCCAACCCCCGTCCCGGACCCACACAACACCTCGACCCCTGGCCCACCCCGGCAGTCACCGAGAACGGTCCCCCAGAGTGCCTAGGTTCTTCCGGAGCCCGACCGGATCCGGAAGCTTCTGGGAGCGAGGGGGTGGGACCGAAAAAACTCAAAAAAAAAGCGCGGCGAAAGCTAAAGGCCGGCCCAGGCTGAGAGGTGGTGGTCCGCAAGCCGGGCCGCGGCCGGTGCGATGGACTCTACTGCCTGCTTGAAGTCCTTGCTCCTGACTATCAGTCAGTACAAAGCCGTGAAGTCAGAGGCGAACGCCACTCAGCTTTTGCGGCACTTGGAGGTGAGAGGCTCTAGGGTGGAGGACAGATGGGGCTTCCCTAGTAATTCTTAGTTCACAGTGAGGCCGAGGAGTGGCGGCCTCAGCCTGGGAAAGAAAGGACGGTCCTTCGATCCGTCTGTTGTCTTTTCATACTGGTAAAGGCGAGTGAGTGTCGGGGTTCCGCCGGCCGCAGCGAGAGGCAAGAGCGCCCACTGAAGGCTCTAGGAAAAGTGGGAGTGGGGCAAAAGGTTGGGAAGTTTAGGCTGTGTTTCGAGTAGGTAACGGAAAAAGCTCGGAGCTTTATCTTTTCCTTTGTTTCTAGTTTTGGTTTTTCTACGAAACCAAGCCCTCAATACACAGCTATTCTCAGTGACGGAAAGTCATGATTAAAACTTGGTTTTGCTCTTCGGTAATCTATAATTGAATTTGTTGCTTCCTGCTCTTATTTGAACTCGGGTTGAACTCAAACTTGAAAAACATGACTTCAACCTTAAGAAGCAGTTCCCCTTCCTAGTAAGCGTAATCCTTTTTCTTTACCAAAATACGTTGCTCACAGTTTTTTAATCCTAGAATGCTGAATTGCCTTTTTTTCTGTTAGTTCTAGTGATATGTGTTCAGACGATACCATTTGTTTTAGGATCTTAATCTTCTGCTGTCATTTGTTTTGCATTTACGGAATTCAGACTAACATTGACCTCAGTTTAATTTTTTTAAAGCTGAGTTAAGGCTTATTTTAACTCTCTGTGTCACAGCTTTCTTCTGTTAAGACAGAATTGAACATAATTTTAAAATATATTGTATTTGTTATATTAACCCTATGACAAAAGAATAATGTGACAAAGATTTGTAAAATATTACAGAAAAAAAATGATTTCAAGTAGTAGAGCAACAGCAGGTGTTAGTGAATCTGCTGTGGTATTAAATGTGTCTGTCTTTGTTGAGCTTCACTGGTGCTCCTCTTCTCCCTACTTCACGTGCCCATCTCCTAAGTACATTTGTTTTCTCTTTTTCATTCATTACTTAGGAAGTATCTGCAAACCTAATAATTAAGATGTTAGCTATTAAATGCTTAAGGCTTTGCTTCTGAATTAGCATAGACTCCAGAAGCCGCAGAATAAGCAGGGCCGTCAGTTTATTTTAAAAATTGGGAGTTAAGCATTTTGTATGCCGTTCTGAAACATTACCTTTCTTTGAATAAACAGGTAGGTTGTGCATTGAAAGAGATTTAAGGCCAGGCACAGTGGCTCACACCTGAAATCCCAACACTTTGGGAGGCCGAGGCGGGCGGAACACCTGAGGTCGGGAGTTCGAGACCAGCCTGGCCAACATGGCGAAACTCCATCTCTATTAAAATACAAAAATTATATGGGCGTGGCGTCTCTCTGTTGTCCCTGCTACTCAGGAGGCTAAGGCAGGAGAATCGCTTGAACTCAGGAGGCTGAGGTTGCAGTGAGTCAACATCGCATCACTGCACTCCAACACTCCAACATGGGTGACAGAGCGTGACTCCGTCTCAAAAAAACAAAAAAAAGAGAGAGACTTAAACAAAATATGGGATGGGGCCTTTACTGTATTCCTAAACATTCAAGGGGTTTACAGAAAACTCTTCTACCGTTGTTGCAAAGGTATGAAGAGCACTGGCTTCAGGTTACTACTACAAAGGACTTTTTGTAATTAAGAGATAACACATACAGAGCATGAAGTGCATTAATCTTAAGTGAAGAGTTTGATAGTTTTTAATATATAGGTACTGTAGCTACCATATTGGTAACTAACATATAGGTAGAGTAGTAGCTACCACCTGTATCATGATATAGAATATTTCTAGCCCCATAGGGTTTCTTCATTGCCCCTTCACATAAGGTTCAGGTAAGTAGACTCATACAGTATGTACTCTTGTGTCTGGCCTTTTCCACTCAATATAATCTGTGAAATTCATGTTGCACAGGTACCACTACTTCATTTTTTTTTTTATTATTATTGCATGTAGAGTTCTATTGTATAAGTGTACCACAGTTTACATATACTTGCCTGTTGATAGGCATTTGGGTTGTTTACATTTCTGGGTGGAATTATGAATAAAGCTGTTGAGACATTTCATACATTTTTGTGGATATATGCACACATTTATATACTTACGAGTAGAATTGTTAAGAGCATTGAGAAGGCCTGTGTTCTGTTTTAGTTGAAACTGTCAAACAATTTTCTGAAATAGGCCATTTTACCTTCCCACTAGCAATATGTGAAATTTGCCATCACTCATCCACACCAAACCTTGATGTTTTCATATTTCTTAACTTTAACCATTTTGGTTGACAGTATTTGTATTTTTAATGGTGAATGTCTTTGTGCAGACTTCATGAGTGCGAGATCTGAGTATGCAGAGAGAGATAGGTATCATGTGAAAGGAGATTATTCATTCTTCTGTACTTCTCCCACCCTTTTTTATAGCCCCATGCAGAGTGTAGGCTTTGAATGTTTGATGACTGGCAAAGCGGAGCTAATCTGATTTTTAATGATGGTATTTCATAGCACTAATTTTGTGTAGTGATTAAAAGCATGAATTCAGGGACCAAGCTGCCTGGGTATGAATTCCAGTTGTGCTTCTTTACTATCAGTGTGTGCCTCAGTTTACTCATCTGCAAAACAAAATAGTGGTACCTACCTTACAGAGTTATTATGAAGATGAAAAGAGTTCACATATGTAAAGTGCCTAGATCGATGCCTAGGCCAGAATAAGCGCTATATAAGTATTAGTTATTATTAAAATAAATTATCTTTGTATTAAGACATTCAGTGTATATGAGTAAAGGGAAAAACTTGTAAAGCAATTTTTATTTTACCTAGTACATATAATTATTACGTGTTAGACAATTTATGTCATTGAGATACAGGACCAATCCTGTAGAGAATCATTTCTAAAACAGAAAATGTCTTCCTCTGGAGAGCTAGATTTATAAATAAGCAACAGGGTAATGCCCAGAGTATTTCCTACCCCAGAATATCTGTTACTGGTGTCTGTACTTTCATATTTGGACTTATTTTTTCTCTTATAGACTTTAGTAATGTTAAAACACTCCCTGGGAACAGATAATGTGAAACTTTTATCAGCAAAGCTTTAGAAGAAAAACTGATGTGGGTGAGAGAACAAAGGGAGGATACAGAAAGGAAAGTTTAGAGGGATGCTAAAGCAGCCTGCTTAGGCTTGATCTTATTAAAATAAGTATTCAGGACAGATTTAGTCTTATTCTAAGGTAACTAATGGTTTTTCTATCTTTGTAGAAAAGATATGCTTTATAATAAATACATCTCTAAAGTGTGTTGAAAATTCATGCTTTGTGACAACTACTTTTGGCCTTCAGTTCCAGCTTTACCTCCTCTCTTCTCTCTCACTGTGTGTGTGTGTGTGTGTGTGTGTGTGTTTGTGTGTGTCTGTGCATGCATGTATGTGACTTATAGATTACAAGAAAGTAAAAGAAAATGGAATAATCAGAAATAAAATTTTTCAATGCTTTGCCTGCTACTTCAAAAAAGATTCACTTTTCACTTCCTTCTTTGTACTCCCTTAACTTCTGAGCTCACCTATTGTCTTTGGGAAGGAGCAGAAGGAATAATCCCATAGCTACCCTCTGGGCTTCATTTTTCATTTTTCTCCCTCAAAGTGAGTAGAATGTACTAGAATTTATTTGCAAAGTAAATATATTGGTAGTAAAGTACAGATTTGTAGGCTATGCCTTCATTGCATGTTCAATGTAGTGTGAAGGAGAAATATTGCCAGGAACTCAAAAGTTTGCTAACTTAGGAAATAGAAATATAATGTACTGTAGGGTAGTATAATAGGCAGACCTAACCGAGATAGTGTAAGAAGCTAAGAAAAGCTTCCTGGTGGAAATTATTTTAAACTGAGATCCAAATGATTACTTTAGCTAGTGAGGGAGGGATTAGGGAATTGATAGGTAAACTAGGCAGGGGTGAATTTTTCACAACATGTGTGAAATTTTTAAATTGGGAAGGTAGCAGTGGCACCTTGAAGGAACTGAGTTTATTTGAAATGGAGAAGAGATAAAAATTGCCATCTCTTAACCAACACATTTTGATTACTATTTTATAGGTAATTTCTGGACAGAAACTCACACGACTATTTACATCAAATCAGATATTAACAAGTGAATGCTTGAGTTGCCTTGTAGAGCTACTTGAAGACCCCAACATAAGTGCTTCACTGATCTTAAGTATTATTGGTTTGCTGTCTCAACTAGGTAATGCATTTAATTTCTCTTTTTTAGTTTTTGGAAGATGTATGAACAATATTTTAAAGTGCAGGCTTAGTTATAGAATCTCTTAAAGAATGATTCGCCTTCAAAGACTTCTCAATCTAATGCTCATTGTGAATCTTTTGAAAGAGGGAAATATTTTATGCAGCATTTCTAAAAATATTGGACCAAGGAATCTGAAGCGTGTGAAAGGTTCAGTGTTCTACAGAGAAGAATGCACTTTGGGAAATACTGGACTACTTTCGAATTAAAAAACAAAACCCCACACGTAATGTCAGTATTAAATACACCACTAGAAAGTCATAGCTACTGATCAAAGAATCATCTTTTGTAATAGATTACACTGAATTTAGAACTAAAGGTAAAAGTACTGATGTTAGTTTTTCTATCTTTTCACCATATCTTTAGTTTTTTTTTTTTAAGACAGAGTCTCGCTCTGTTGCCCAGGCTAGAGTGCAGTGGTGCAATCTCTGCTCACTGCAAGCCCCGCCTCCCAGGTTCACGTCATTCTCCTGCCTTAGCCTCCCAAGTAGCTGGGACTACAGGCGCCCACCACCACACCTGGCTAATTTTTTGTGTTTTTAGTAGAGACGGGATTTCACTGTGTTTGCCAGGATGGTCTCGATCTCCTGACCTTGTGTTCCACCTTGGCCTCCCAAAGTGCTGGGATTACAGGCGTGAGCCACCGCGCCCGGCCTGGTTTTTGAATGTTCATTTAGTGGTCACTTTACCCCAATTTGGGGCAGAGCAGTAGGGATATTTCTTTGTGTGATTATAATAATAATATATGCATAGTTTAAAAAATTCTAGTGATCCAGAAGTATTAACACAGAGCAGCATTGTCCAATAGAATTTTCTTCAGTGACAGAATGGTTTTAAAACTGTGTTATCCAATATAGCAGCCACTAGCCACATGGAGCTATTAAGCATTTGAAATGTGGGTAATAGACTAAGGAACTGAATCTTTAATTTTAATTAATCTCAATTTAAATAGCCACATGAAGGCTAGTGGCTGCCAAATTAGACAGCCCAGGCATAGAGTAAAATGGGATTAGCCTGTACCCATTACCACCAGCCCTCATCTTTTCAGCTTTGGGGATATAATCTCATTTCATGGCTTGATATGTCTCTTTGCAGATATTTTTCTATGCTGTAACAAAACCATAATTTTGGATCTTTAATTGGTTGTTTTTAGCACAAATGGTGTTGTGGAACACCAGATGTTTCTTTCCATATCGGTGTCTGTAATAGCTGCCTAGTGCCATAATTACAGGGTACTGTAATTTATTCAACTATTCCCCTAATAGTGGATACTCAAAGTTCTTTAAGTTTTGGTATTGGAATCAATAGTGCAGTGAACATTCTATGTAATTTTGCTAAAATATTAGTGTGTTTCTAGTAAATTCCTTTAGAATTTCTAGATCATTCTAAAATTTGATAACCATTACTAAATTGCTTTCCAAAAAGATTCTTCCACTTCTAACATCCACCAACAGTTTGAATGAATATGCCAGTCACTTCCAACATTTATACTTTAGAAGCATTTGGAGTTTACAAAAAAATTGAAATGATAATCTTTTTAAATTTTTTCACAGATACATAATATTTATACAAACTTATGGGGTACATATGATATTTTGTTACCTGCATAGAGTATGTGATGATCAATTCAGGGTATTTAGGATATCCATCACAAACAAAGATTTATCATTTCTATGTATTTAGAACATTTCAAGTCTTCACTTGTAACTATTTTGAAATATACAATACATTGTTAACTATAGTCACCTTACTCTCCTATCAAACATTAGAACTTATTCCATCTGATTGTGTGTTTATATCCATTAACCAATCTGTCTTCATCTCACCCACTAACGGCTCCCCTCCTCACCCTTCCCATCACCACATACTCACCCATATTCTTCCCAGCCTCTGGTAACTGTCATTTTCCACTTCCATGAGATCAACTTTTTTAGCTCCTACACATGAATGAATACATGCAATATTTTTCTTTCTGTGTCTGGCTTATTTCACTTAACATAATGGCCTTCAGTTCCACCCATGTTGCTGCAAATGACATGCATTCTTTTATATAGCCAAATAGTATTCCATTGTGTAAATATACCATAAAGTGACAATCTTTTAATATTCAAAGTAAGAGATTTTAATTTGATACTAAAATAAATTAGTATCAAAGAAAAAGCTTGCTACAAATGTGTAAAGTTTTTTCTTTGATACTAGTTTATTTTACATAGAGAAATCGTTTGAATTTCTGAATTAGAGGGTTATGGAAAAGAAAACAGCCATATCATACTTTTTAAATGATAAAGTCATATGAAATAAATTCTGTATGAATTATCTGTGAAAACCTTATAAGAAAATGATATATTTTGTGCTATTTTATTTTAACTTACAGCTGTAGACAATGAAACCAGAGATTGTCTTCAGAATACATATAATCTGAATAGTGTGCTGGCAGGAGTGGTTTGTCGGAGCAGCCACACTGATTCGGTGTTTTTGCAGGTATACACACCCACACAGTATATTCCCCTTTCCTTATTGTCAGATCAAAATTGATAGTTTCTGTCATAAACTGCTGACTTACAGTGTATATGTGCTATGTAATAAATACTACGTAATTAGGCACAGTTCATCTGATTAAAAGCTGGTTGCACACATACTACAATTTAAATATTTCTAGAGAAGAGGAGCTTATCCATTTCTAGCACCATTATTGAAGAAAAACAAATCTGCATTGTAACTGCTTTGACTTATAAACACAGATGTCTGTGTTTTGAGACATAAGCTATTTATATTAAAATTGTAATGTGAGTTGGCATCTAGTCTCAGTCTGTGGAGGAAACGTTCTACAAAAATTAAAGCTATAGATATAGTTTATTTAATATAGATTCAAAGCTCTTCATATTTCATTGACTCTAAAATGTCATCAGTTGTAAGAAAGAAAAACATCACAAATTGACATGCAGTTTTAGAGATGATAAAATGTGAAGAAGGGTATCTTCTAATTGATGGACTACATGTGTTTCAACCTGCATTCAAGTTTAAGATGACTAAGTGAACAAGGTTGATAACTATGTTCTGAGACAGAATACATAGAAATGTGTGAATTGAGAGAAGAGCCCTAAAGTTCTTGCATTACTTTATATGTGTTTTTTTAAAAAATTGTTTTAGGTAATGGAAAAGGACCTGCTCAGAATGTGTCTGATAGTCCATTATTTTAAGCAGGCGATGTTTTTATATGTTTATATTTATAACTATTTTCTTATTCTCAGTGCATTCAACTTCTACAGAAGTTAACATATAATGTCAAAATTTTCTATTCTGGTGCCAATATAGATGAATTAATTACGTTCCTGATAGATCACATGTGAGTATGCAATCAAATATAAAACCAAATAGTCTATTTGTTTATTTTTAAACTATAACCATGTGGTAGATCAATTTTCTTAGATAATATTTTCTAACTATGTAAATTGAGTGAGACTCCGATTCTTATTTGTTCTGCCCAGATGATTTTAAGGATCAAAAGTTGTAAAAGTATGTGACCTCATTCATTGGTGAAAAAATGTAAAAAGGAAAAAAATTGTAAAGCAGCTTTAATTTTCATAAGAAAAATGTATGGACTGAATTGATTTGGCCAGAAAAAAATTGCTGAAACTGAAAATTGTGTAGTTATTCTTGTAGGAAAATATACTGATGAAACAGCACGTGGTCCCCGCTGACAGTTATTTCCAGGTTTTCATGATGGAATTGAATAGGGTAATTTGGTTTTAAAACAAGAGATAAATGATCAATACTGTTTAGAGTTTCCCTGGCTTCTCATGTTAATTAGATTTTTTTTTTTTTTTGGCCTGTAAAAAGGAAAAGTATAAACTTAACTATATCATTTTGACTTAGAATGGCATTAATGCTTTTTTTCTTTCACTATTTTTTCTTTAAACAAAACACTAATGTAAAACAACAGTCAATCTTCTGAAGATGAGTTAAAAATGCCTTGTCTAGGATTATTGGCAAATCTTTGTCGGCACAATCTTTCTGTTCAAACACACATAAAGACATTGGTAAGAAGTTTATTTCTTTTTGATTTTGTTGTTTTATGGTAGATTCTCTGCTTAAAGAAAATTGTATTTATCTTTTTCTTTAAAACAAATTTGAACAAGGATTCTGTGTCGTACCAGCTGACCCATCAAAATTAAGAGTCAGATTGACATATAAATAACTTGAAGCACTTCAGCCTTCCTGTATGTTGTATTGAAGGCTGTGTGTTAATGGTTAATGCAAATACTTAAGTTTTCCTTAGCATGGCATCCCAAAATACACTGAGTAGTACAAGAATTACTAAATTATTTTGTGCTCTTAGAAGGGAGGCACATCACTGGCAGTCCCATTTACCTCAGTCTTGTGTTTCCACAAAATCAATGGCAACTCCAACAGAAAGATTCATGAGTTTAGTGCTCAGTATGAACCAACAGTACTTGTGATAAGTGAAGACACACAAATGAATTTAACTGAATCACTTTTAGAAGTATATTAAATTGGCCAGGCACGGTGGCTCACGCCTGTAATCCCAGCACTTTGGGAGGCCGAGGTGGGCGGATCACAAGGTCAGGAGATCGAGACCATCTTGGCCAACATCATGAACCCCGTCTCTACCAAAATAAAAAAAATTAGCCAGGCGTGGTGGCACACACCTGTAGTCCCAGCTACTCGGGAAGCTGAGGCAGTAGAATCGCTTGAACCCGGGAGGTGGAGGTTGCAGTGAGCCGAGATCACGCCACTGCACTCCAGCCTGGCGACAGAGTAAGACTACATCCTAAAAAAAAAAAGTATATTAAATCAAGCAAGTTAGTGATTCTTTAAGGTGCTTTGTGAACAATTTCCCTGCTATGCTATTCAGCATTACCTGTTTGATTTTAAATTTAATATCTCACTTGTTCAAGTGCTACATTTTTCTACCCTGGTCCTACTTTGTAGGTGGAGTTACTGTGTGTGTGTGTGTGTGTGTGTGTGCGCGCGCGCGCGCACATGTATGTATAGTGTGTGTGTTTCAATTTCTGAATTGAAAAAAAAAGTTCATATTTAGGAAACACTTAAATATAAGGAAGAATAAACATTTGCTCATAGTTCCATGTGTAGAAACTGTTCTTCACCAAGATTGTGTCTATCTATACGACTGTCAGCAATATAGAAAGTACCCATCTCGCTCACACCTGCAATCTCTTAAATCTAAATGATAATCAGCAGCAAATATGGCAAAGTTAATTGCTGCTCCACGGTGTGTAATGTAAAACAAATTCTTAAATTTACTGAATATTTTTTTGCTTTCACCACAATTATGAGTTCCTCATTACAGTTCTTTTGTTAACACAAATGCTCAACAACTTTTCCTGCAGTATTTAAGGTAGCTCTTTTGTTTCCACTCTGCATGTATCCCTTTATTAGAATTGACACCCTGATTTACCATCATTGAATTATTTATTCTAAGGTGACAAAACTATGGAAATATTTATCTCCCACTCATTTGCACACATTTACCAAATTATTTTTTTCTCTGGGTACTCTGTATATAACAATTTTTGAATTTAAATTTATCTCTGATCTAAATGTCTTCTGTAAAACATTTATCTTTTAAATGCAAGAATCATTTAATAGAGTTGATAATGATGTTTAAAAAAGTTTGCCCACTCTGTGCAGGATATACTTTTTAAACCAAAATATAAAATTTATAATTCTAATTTATTTTTTAACTTTTTTTTCCTCAGAGTAATGTGAAATCTTTTTATCGAACTCTTATCACCTTGTTGGCCCATAGCAGTTTAACTGTGGTTGTGTTTGCGCTTTCAATATTATCCAGTTTGACATTAAATGAAGAGGTGGGGGAAAAGGTAAATACGATTTTTCAAATTTATTCTGAAGTTTCTAGTCTTATATTTTAAAAGTCACTGAGACTTTTTTATTTTTACCTTTTAGGATGGTGTCAACTTAATTTTTTATGTAATATGCTTTTCTAATTTGTCCTTAAGCTATTCCATGCTCGAAATATTCATCAGACTTTTCAACTAATATTTAATATTCTCATAAACGGTGATGGCACTCTAACCAGAAAGTATTCAGTTGACCTACTGATGGATCTCCTTAAGAATCCTAAAATTGCTGATTATCTCACCAGGTATGATTCACTTCAGTCAATTTTAGAACTTTTTTTTTTTTAATCAAGATGTGTTGGTTATAAACGAAATTGTCTTCTTAAAATATAGTAAACTTGAAGTCTACTGACTTGGAGTCTACCGGACGAAAATGTTTTGATGTGCTTTACTCGCACTCTTTTTTCTTTCCTATACTGAAATGGAAAGTATAATAAAGTCATTGTCTATGTGTGTATTTCAGTCTTTGCTTTAAATCAATAGGGTTGTGCCATTCTCCAAAATATAGACATCTTGGCTAACTTATTTTAAAACCAGTTTTAAAACTTAAGCAGCATTATGATTATTTGGAAGAATATTTTTATTATAGGGACAATAAAAATATTTCTACATAAATTATAAATAAATGAAACATAGTGTTGAAACATTGATGTCATTATGTTTGTGTCTTTATTTTTTGTATAAAAATGGATAATGTTTCCTTTGGTGTGTGCCTCTTTTCATAGGTAAAATAGGAACACATGTTCATATGTCCTTTCTATCTCAGTATATTTCATATGATCATTTATGTTTTAAGATCAGGTAGTAATTGTGTTCCAACGAGCTTGTGGCCTTTTTGCATTCTAAGTTAAATTTTGCTGGGGCCTATGCCGCTTTGTCATACTAAATTAGGAAATAATTGAAATTGTTTCAAAGAGTTTGACATACAAGAAAACATTTACTGAGCTCCACCTATGATCAGGCACTTAGCAGCAACAGGCTGTGAAGACACAGTCCGTGATGTTTAAGAAACATAGAATCTAACAGTTTTATTTTAATAAAAGCTAAGCACTAGGGCAAACTCGACCACTGTTCATATGGCTCAGCAGATTTTTGCAAAACCAAGAAGCATTCACTTTAGCATTTCACTTTTTCTTTTCTTAGGAACCTCTAGATAGGTGAACTATTTCTTCCAGAGTGCCTTCCCATGACCTGCCTTCCCTTCATCTGTTGTGAGACTTTCCCAATATCCATGTATATCTATTCTAGCCACCAGAGAGTGCTTATTCAGCATCTTCATAGTAAACAGAAAAATTCTTTTGAATAAACCTCTTCTGGAAGACTAAAAGATAATCCAGTTTAGCATAAATAAGAGGTTGCATAATCATTTCTTCTGTAAATCTCTCAGTTCTGTTACCTATTTTATACTCTATCCATCATAGAACCCCAGAATTACCTCTGGCAACTCCTCTTGTTTATCTGGTATGCCATTGAACAATAACTCTGTCCTGAATCTCTTCCAAAGTCAAACTTACTGCATAGTTACTAATTAGAGCTTGAGAAAATCCCACAACTTTACCTGGGCCAGACCTCTCATATTTACTTGTCAGCTTTCTCATTTCCTCCAATGGGTCTTCAAATTTATTTATTTAGAGACAGAGTCTCACTCTATTGCCCAGGCTGGAATGCAGTGGTGTGATCCTGGCTCACTGCAACCTCCGCCTCCTGGGTTCAAGTGATTCTCTTGCCTTGGCCTCCCACATAGCTGGGATTACAGGCACACATCACCATGCCCACCTAATTTTTGTATTTTTATTAGAGAAGGGGTTTCACCATGTTGGCCAGGCTGGGCTTGAACTCCTGACCTCAAGCAATCCACCTGCTTCAGCCTCCCAAAGTGCTGGGATTACAGGCGTGAGCTGCTGGCCCAACTGGTCTTTGAAATTTTTTATTTTTCTCTTGCTGCCTTTTATGCAGAAGATGACCTTATCTTTGTTTCACAGAAAAAAAAAATATCTAAATCAAGCCCCATTTGATTGGAGCTCCCCCAAATCCTTGCCACTTAACAAACTTACCTATGTTTATACCAAATTCTTAGTTTCATCCTGTTTCACTCATAAATACGTACTGTTACTCTATGGATTGTCTCATTTTGTCTTTTCTGAAGCTGTTGCTCCTCTCTTTTCAGGGCCTCCTATTCAGTTGATCCTTCCCTTTTTTTTTTTTTTTTTTTTTTTTAGACGGATCTCGTTTGTCCCCGCTGTCAGTGCCGATCTCAGCTCACTGCAAGCTCCGCTCGCGGGTTTCGCCTTCCTGCCTCAGCCTCCAGTAGCTGGACTACGCGCCCACCTCCCCCTAGTTTTGTATTTTTAGTAGAGACGGGTTTCACCATATTAGCCAGGATGTCTCACTCCTACCTCTGATCCCCCGTCTCGGCCTCCCAATTGGATTACAGCTTGACCACGCCCCCGATCCTTCCCCTTTATAAATATGCTCAAAACTTTTTCTTCAACCAGATGTCCCTTTTAAAATGTTTGACCTACCATTGCATTCAAGGTGAATATCCAAATTTTCAGTATAGCCCTTCAAAATCTGTTTCCTAACAACCTCTCAACCTTATTTCTTCATACATTTTGTTTTTTTGTCTAATCATATCAGACAATAAATAGAACTTCCAGCTTACTAGAAATGCCCTTTCATGTATCCATGTGCTATTTCCTCTAGAGTATTTCCTCTGGAAGACTAGAATGCTTTCTCCTTTATATATTTTTTTTAAGACTCAAGTCTGGGTTTAATACTGAGACAATATTCTTTGTTCCATAGTGTCCCATACATTCCTCCATGATATCACTGTGTTTTATATTACCTTGTATTATCTCTTTCTGTCCTTCTCCTTCATCTTCAGACTGTGATCTCCCTGTCAGGGCACCATCTCCCAAATCTAGGATACATCAGTCACATAGAGTATAATGCTAGGGGTACCTCAGTACTTCTTGGAGTTGTGTAACATGAGTTGCTGCCCCTTACTTCTTTATTTGCAGAGACTAATTTAATGCCTGGCAATTTTAGGTGCTTTATAAAAAGTAGCTGTATAATTTATTAGGATATTCTTCTGTCCTTTGAATTTTTACATAAAGTGAACACAGTCTTAAAAAAATACAGCAATTGAGGCACTGAAAATTTTAATGATTTATTTATTGCCACATGAATCACTGTTTTAATAAATGACAGAGCCAATTTATGTATATCATAATTGTAAGATATATTACAAGTTTTAAGTATAAACTTTACAAGAGTGTGTTCTATATAGCCCAAATAAATAGATGAACGAAAATACACATAAATTTTATGTTTATCTTGTAGATAAATCCCTTTTGATGTATCAATTTTATAATTATCATTTGATGTATATTTTTATTTTAAACCTAGATATGAGCACTTTTCTTCATGTCTTAATCAAGTATTAGGTCTTCTTAATGGAAAGGATCCTGATTCCTCTTCAAAGGTATGTAAAAACATGACTTTTCATTTAAACTTTTAAAAAACTGTAAAATGCAGAAAAATCCAAATGCACAGGCTCTCTATATTTTTACAATATGGACATAATTATGTCGCCAGTGTCTAGATCAGGATGTAGAATGTTAACAGTATTTGTGGTCCCTTTTAGTCAGTACCTACCCCTTCCTATTCCTTACTTTACCAAGGGTAACTGCTCTAACCACTACACTGACTTCTAACAGCATACATATATGTGTATATGTATGTATATATACATATATGTGTGTATATGTATGTATATATACATATATGTGTGTATATGTATGTATATATACATATATATTTTGGAACTTTATATAAATAAAAGCATATAATACATGTATTTTCTGTCTAGACTTTCTTTGGTTCAATATAATATGATGAGATTCACTCGTTTCATATAGTTGTAGATTGTTAGATTGGTTCTTTTTTTGGACAGGGAGTATGATTTATTGGTGAGCATGAGTAAGGGGACATTACAGTGAACGCCCTCTTGGATGTAGTGCTCACCACTTGTCCGGGGGCCACATTTTAGGATGTATTTGACCTCACAGCCATCTGGGATGAGTCACTGCTCAGCCTCCATGTCTTCAAATTTATCCACATTAAATTTAGTAAAGCCCCACTTTGAGATGTGGATCTTTGGGCAGCCAGGGACCTTGAACTTGGCCTTGCATGGGGCCTTAGTTGCATGCTCCTTATCTTGCAGATTTGTGTGGATGGACATGATGACTTGGCCACTGTGAACCCTGGCCACTGTGCCCTGGGGGCTTTCCAAAGACACCTTGCGTAATGCCTCTCCGAGGCCTAGATGGGGGACAGCAGGAGATCAGAGACATGAATGTACATTGGAAAGGGCTGTCTCTAAGGTTTCTTAGGCCAGCCCATACAAGCAACAGGCTGTGTACACTACCAATGAGGCAGCTGTTTGCAGCCATTGCACACTGGGCCCCCAGGAAGAAAGGAGCACAATTGGTGTTCTTTTGTTTATAAACATCAGCTGTTACGAAAAAACCTGCATTTACCGTTTTCTGCATGTCTTTTGGTGAGCTTATGGACATGCTTGTCTTAGCTTTATATCTAGGAGTGGAATCACTATGTCATAGGATATGTATATGTTCAGTAGGCACTATGAAACAGTTTTCAAAAAAAGTCAGTTGGACCAGTGTATGAATATTTGGTCAGTCTGCATTCTTGCCAGCAGTTGATATTTTTCACTTTTTCATTTTAGCAATTCTAATGGCTATACAGTAGTATTGCATTATAATTTAAATTAATATTTTATTAGTAAAAATATCATTTTACATATTCATTTGTCATTTGTATATTCTTTGACGTGCCTGTTTATGTCTCCTGCTCATTTGTTTAATGCATTGTCTTTTACTTATAAGTAGGAAGAGTTATTTTGGAGTCTTTTGAAGGGTATATAACATGCAAATATTTTCTTCCATTCTGTGAGTTGCCTTTTTACTCACCTAATGGTGCCTTGATTTTAACATAGATCAATTTAGTGTTTATTGTGTTCCATTTAGGAACTCTTGGCCTATTCCAAAGTCACAAAGATGGACTCCATTGTTTTCCTCTAAAAGCTTCCTAGTTTTTTTTTAACTTTCACATGTAGATCTGTAATCCTCCTACAAGTGACTTTTGTGTCTGTTGTGAAGCAGGACTTTTCCAGGTCAGCCTTTACCTTACAGGTTTTTACAGAAGAAAAAAATTAGAATGACTGAGCTAATCATTTGCAACAATGATCTAAAAGATGGTAGAAAGGTTGAAACAGTACAAAATTTGTTACTTAACAATATTTTCTTTTTATTTTGATCCCTAGAATTTCTAAATTCCTTTCTCATATGCAATATGAGAACTATTTCTAATTTGTATCTAAATGGATCTTAATGAAGTGACTCTCATGCAATATGAGAACTATTTCTAGTTAGTGTCTAAATGGATCTTAATAAAGTGGCTAGGAATCTAATATAAGTGCTAAATAAGGATTATTGGAATAGAAACACAGCAAGGGAAAAATCTAATAATCGAATCTAAAGGTATTAAACAATCTCAGGGAATTTAGGAGGTCAGGTAGCACAGGGGAGTAGAAGCATTCTATGGGTATCAAAATCGGAAAGAGAATGGAAAAGTAAAAAATAAAAATAAATAACAACTTAAAACTTAATTTTTTAAAGTAAAAAATAATTCACGTTATGATAGAAGTGGGGAGCAGTGAAAGCAAAATACATCTTTGTGGGGAAGATACAGTTGAGTGTCTTTTTAAATATATAATAGTATATAGTGTCTTTGATTATAAGGCCAGTATAACCTTGATAGCAAAACCTGACAAGGATACTACAACAAATGAAAATTACAGCTCAATATCTTTCATGAACATATTGCAAAAATTCTAAACAAAACATTAGCAAATCAAAATCAGTGACACATAAAAAGGATCATGTCTTATTACCAAATGAGGTTTATTCCAGGAATGCACAGATGGTTTAACATTTAGAAATTAATATAATTTCCCACATTAACAAAAAGGCAGATAAATTATATTATCTCATTAAAGGTGGAATAGCATTTGATAAAATTTAATACCTATTCATGATAAAGATTAGCACACTAGGAATAAACCGTAACTTCCTTTCCCTGATAGAGTAATTACCTAAAATCTACTGCATCATCTTTTTAAGTGGCAAATTACTGAAGGCTTTCCTCAAGATAAGGAATAAGAAAAGAATGTCCATTATCACCAGTGATGTTCAGCTTAGTATTGGTGGTCCCAACCAGCCCAATAAGGCAAGATAAAGTAAAAAGGTACAGAGATTGGAAAGGAAGAAATAAAACTCACTATTCAGATGACATGAGAGTATAGAAAATCTAAAATCTGTGGAAATCATTATAAAACTTAAGTGAATCTATTTAACAAATTGGCTGGATACGAGATCAGTAAATATATGTTTTATTTATATTTTCGTGACAAATAGAACATGAAGTTTTTAAATGATGCTATTTACTGATTTTTTAAAAATGTCAGGTGCTTAGGGGATTAAAGACAGTGCAATATTTTGTCATAATGATAGCCCAGTGGGACAGAATGGAGCAGAACCAAACTCACAGCATATGGTCTCCTGATTGACAACAGTAGAGTCTTGAAGGTATGGTCATTTCAATAAATGACACTGAGTCAATTGAATATACATATGGGGAAAAACTGAATCTTGACCCCCTACCTCATACCAAATGCAAAAATCAGTATAAGACAGGTTGTAGATTTAATTGTGAAAAGTAAAAATAATGAAGGTTTTAGAAGAGTCACCTAACAGAGTATCTTCATGGCCTTGGGGTAGACAATGATTTTCTTAAACGAGAAACAAAAGCACTAACTATGCAGTAGAAAAGTCTGTAAGTTGGGCTACATTAAAATTAAGTTTCTATTCATGAAGAGACCACTAATAAAAGAATGAAAAGCCAAAGAATGGGAATAGATAACTACAATGCATATATGTAACAAAGGACTCTTATCCAAAATATATTATTTTTCTATGCTGTATGTATATATCAGAAAAAACACAGAGCCCAACAGATACTTGAGCAAAAAAGTTGAATTGGTCAATAAACATGAAGTGATTGTACCACTTTATCAATCTTCAGGGAAATGCAGATTTAAACGGTAGTATGATACCATCTGACACCCACCAGTTGATTAAAATGAAAAATAAGGAAAATAGCAAACATACCATAACTCTCATTTAGTACTCATGGTACAACCAATTACGAAAACTGGTATCTGTTAATACTGGGCATATGTATAAACTATGACCCAGAAATCTCACTTACAGGTATTTATCACAAAGAATTGTATACATGTGTGCAAAATGTAGTACTGCTCCTAATAGGTAACAATGATAATCCAAATGCCATCAACAGGGGAATATGTTCATTTTGGGAAAGTCATCTAACTCTGCACTAGTAATTAGTTTTTTTACTTTTATATGTGTACATTAAAAGAAAACTAGTGTATATGGAAAGCTATCTGCTTGTATGTTTATAACAGACATCTGGTAAGATACACAAACAATTGGTAACATTACTTGCCTACAGGGTTTATCTTTTGAACCAGGTGAATGTATTGCCTATTCAAAAATAAATATACATTATGTAATGACGTTTTAGTCAATGACAGACAAAGACTTCTTATTGTCTTTGACATTATGGGCATTCTAACATGGTGGTGCAATGCATTACATGTGTTTGTGGTGATGCTGGTGTAAACAAACCTACTGAACTGCCAGCTGTATAAAAGTATAGCACATATTAAGATTGTGTACAGTACATAGTATTTTGATAAGGGTGTTACCACTTATTCTTTGTTATTTTAGAGTGTGCTTCTATTTATAAAAAGTTAACTGTAAAACAGCCAGGCAGGTCTTTCAGGACCTATTCTCAAAGAAGGTATTGTTGTTATTAGAGATGACAACTCCCTGTGTGTTATTGCCCCTGAAGACCTTCCAGTGGGACAATATGTGGAGGTGGAAGTGGTATTGATTACCCTGGGCCTGTGTAGACCTGGGCTGATGTATGTGTTTGTGTCTTTGTTTTTAACAAAAAAAGTTTTAAAAGAAAAAACCAACATTTTAAAAATAGAAAAACAACTGGTAGAATACAGATGTAAATAAAGTATTTTTATATAGCCGCACAGTGTGTTTCTCTTACTACAAAAGAGTCAAAAACTTTATAAATGGACACGCTTATAAAGTTAAAAAGTTATGGTAAGCTAAGGTTAATTTATTAGAGAAATTTTAAAAAATAGTGTGACTTAAGCATACAGTCTTTATGAAGTCTACAGCAATATACAGTAATGTGCTGCCTTTACATTCACTCACTACTCAGTCATTAACTCACCCAGAGCAACTTCCAGTCCTGCAAGTGTCCTATATGGGTGTACCGTTTTTAATCTTTTATACTGTATTTTTCTATGTTTAGATACACAAGTACTTACAATTGTGTTATAGTTGCCTGCAGTATTTAGTACAGTAATATTCTGTACAGGTTTGTAGCCCCTGGGCAATAAAGGGACGTAGTAGACTCTACCATCTAGGTTTGTGTACGTACACTCATGTTCACACAACAAAATTAATGATGCATTAAGCAACATATGCATCACTAAGTGACACATGACTGTACTATAGTTTATATTTATTAAAGATTATCATTTGTTACAGTAAATGCTAATGGACTGGATTCTCTTAAATTCAGATATTATCAAGTTGATTAAAACACAAATCCCAATTATATATCATTTGTAAGAAACAGACTTTTAAAAAGTTGGAAATAAGTAGAGAGGCAAGGAGATCTTAAGAAAAAAATTTTTTTTTTAGTGATAGGTTGGTAGTATGTGAAATGAGGTGTAATTTATCTTAACATCTAATAAACAGGTTGATGGTGGATGTTATGGTATAAGGCCTAGTTTATAAAGTAGAGGAAAAATGGGGTACAGTAGGAGAGCTAAGGATCGTAATGCCAACAGCATGCAGTGTGGAAATAACTATCCTGAAGGTTTTATATTCTATGCTACAGTATCCTTTATAGCAGTTATTGAATTTTAGGATTATAACAAGTATTTTTAATTCCAATTTTATTTTTTAGGGTTTTTTTGGTCATGTATAAGCAAAACAGGTTTGTGTTTAAAAATAATTTAAGTACTATGGAAGGAGTGGGAGGAGTTTAACATTAGTTGAAGTTGACCTTTCCTCTGAGGTTCTCACAGTCCTGCTTATCAGGAGTAAGCACCATTAATAAGTTTATTTTGTAACCTTCTGGAATCTATTCACACATTTGAAAAATAATATTGAAAGAAAAAACTTTTAAGTTTTGTTTTAGAGTATTTTCTTTAAAATATGTAGCATTTTCAGCTTCATCATACACTTGCTTTGTATATTAAAGTCCAATGAAATTGATGTTTAATGAAGACTTTATATTGCACAGGTTTTAGAATTACTTCTTGCCTTCTGTTCAGTGACTCAGCTGCGCCATGTGCTCACTCAGATGATGTTTGAACAGTCTCCACCTGGCAGCGCCACTCTGGGAAGCCATACTAAATGTTTAGAACCTACTGTGGCTTTACTGCGCTGGTTAAGCCAGCCTTTGGACGGATCGGAAAACTGTTCTGTTTTAGCACTGGAGTTGTTCAAGGAAATATTTGAGGTAATAGGATGACTGACAGATTGACTTTTCTACTTTTGTGACTCTCAATTAACAATTTGTCTTCAAAAACATTCTTAGTAAACTTCCAGTTCATACACTTGAGGAAAACATCTCAATTACTAACAGTCATACTAGACATGCTAAGTTTTTTTCTACCAGTCATATATATTCGTGTTTTCTTTTTTTTCGCTGAATAGTTTATGTATATATAGTGCTCATTTCAGTGTAATAAGTAAAGATATTAAAAAGATTTATATAATTTGTTGCGTGACTACTTTGAATAGTTGCATTGTCTCTCCATTGCAATAGATGCCATTGCATGGATTATTATTATTATTATTATTATTATTTATTAGGCCATTGAATGGATAATAGAGGCATATTGGATTCAGTCAGTGAAATGGAGTAGAGCATGCCAGATAATGTGCTAGGCACTTAAGATACAGACAAAACTCCACATTCTGGTAGATCTTACTATCTGGGCAATTTAGTATTCTCTACTATTCTCCGTGTTTATAGGTCCATTCTATCTAACCCAATATCTCCTGAAAGTATTTCCCTTCGCATAACTGGATCTTATATACAAATATGTGTATGAAGTGATTAAATATGTTCATTAAGAGTTATGCACAAAATTTTCTATTTTATCTTGGTCTTGATTATTTAACAATCAGTTTTAACATTTAAAAAGCCCTTTGAGGATCTTGATGGAAATTATTTGTGGTTATAAACTATTAAGACCAGTGTCTATTATGTAATTATTATAATTTTAGCAGATTCGGGATATTTGTTTTCAGTAAATACTTTTAGTTTAGAATAATTTTTAAATCACAAAATCTGTTTAAGAAGGTCTTATTTGTAAAACCTTACTAATTTGAGAAAAAAGCCATAGCCCTCAAAACTGAATAAAAGTATAAATTTTAAATAAAAATTTATTCACAAGAGACTTAAGTCAATGGCATATTGAAGGAAATATAAAAAATTTAAAGAGAGTGTTAGAGTTCAATGATGACTATTTCTGTATTGTATATTCCATTTTTGTTTTTAATCATTTGTGATGGATAATTCTCCAGGATGTCATAGATGCTGCTAACTGTTCCTCGGCTGATCGTTTTGTCACCCTTCTGCTGCCTACAATCCTTGATCAACTTCAGTTCACAGAACAAAATCTGGATGAGGCTTTAATAAGAAAAAAATGTGAAAGGATTGCCAAGGCCATTGAAGTTTTGTTAAATATCCTTTACTGTCATCAACATGAAAACTATATAACTAACCATTCTTTTTTTTCTAGTATTGCATTCACTGCGTTTTGTCTTTATTTGTCACTTTATTTGTCACTGTAATTTGTCACTTTATGCTATTTATCTAGAATTATTGAACTAAAATTTGAACTGTAGAAAAAATTCTCAATGAGTCTGAAAAAGATCCATGATTTTTTTTCCTTATTTTTCTGTGTGAAACTTTTAAGCTAAGGTATATTTTAAAAAATGCTGTTGAAGCTTTATTTTAACATTTATATCACAATTTGACATTTGGTGGTAAATTTAAAAATAACTATTCTGTTACTCCTTGTTACTGTTTTCTGCCTAATGCTAATTATTTCCCCTGGACGATTAGTAGTGCCATTTTTTTAGTGATGTGTATTCGTGGATAAAGAAATACTGATAGAGTTGTCATGATTTTAGCTCAGTTGTTTTACCTTATGTTTTCAAAATAAAGCCTTCATGATTGCTTTAATAATGGTTATAAGAAAAGACAAGTATGTCAACACAAATTCATTCATTTAAAAAGAAACCTTGAACAATTAGTTTCACTACTTCTATATACTGATTTTCTAGGTCTTCCTTGTGTTTACTTTTTCATAGACCAACTAATTCTGAGTTGCTAAGAAGTCCAAGTCCCAATTTAAAAATATTTCATTAATACTTTTTTACTATGAGTAAAGAGCCACTGTATCTCAACCAGATCCCTTAAATGTATCTAGTCAGGTTTCCTTGTATCTCAGCGCAACAAGAATATGTTCTACTCTGTCCTAGAGCAAACTCAACCTTGTTTAATATCCTCTTCTAAGGTACTGCTCCTTAATTTTCTTCCTTTAAAGCCGTGATTCCCCACCCTGATTTCCTATGTAAAATCACCTGGAGAACATGCTAAAAAAAAAAATCGATGCAGAACCTTACTTCAAGAGATCCTGATTTAAGTGGAGTGATGTGAAACCCTGAAATCATTAGGTGGTATGTGTTTGTGTGTTGGCTTTTTTGTTGGTGATTGTTTAAACTACCCAGGTGATTCTAACATGCAGCCAAAGTTGAAAACCACTGCAGTAGGGATACATGATTGCTTGACCTTAGAGATATTTATAATTATTAAAGTGGGGCCTTCTTATTGAATTAGACCACAGCTTGGCCCTTTTTAAATAGCTGCTATTTACATTAATTTATAATATACAAATATGACAAAACAACTTCCCCTTATTCAATAAATATTTATTGAACCATTGAGATTCTTGCTAACAAAAAACAGACATCCAATGGAGAGATATCCTCACTGTTTTAACCATTGAGTCAGAAACTTTTGGTGCCAGTCCATCTCTTAACACTTACTACTCATTTAAATTGTGTGAGTTTCAATTTCCTTGTCTGTCATTGAGCTAATTTAACAGTAATTATACTGGACAACAGTAATGATATAATTTGTGTGAAATCATCCCGAATGTTACCTTTTACACATAAAGTGAGAATTTTTTTGTTGTATGTCTTAACAAAACTTACCTCTCTGTGGAGATGATACACTAAAAATGCACATTGCAAAAATCCTGACAACTGTCAAGTGTACCACTCTTATAGAACAACAGTTTACATATGGCAAGATTGACCTGGGGTTTGGAACAAAGGTTGCAGATTCGGAATTATGGTGAGTATATGAACTCTAATGACAAAATGGCAAGGCAGTAAAAAATCAAAAGATGTGGTGATTCTCATCCTTTTGGAGGACCATCCTTTGGTTATAACTTAAGGTATAACAGATTAACAAACATATTTTCATAATGAATTTTTTGTAAATTCATTCAATTTGTAGATTGTGTGCTTTTTGAAGAAATGTTAAATTTGTTGTTTTTTATTGTTTAGGTTTGTTTTGTTTTACTGTAATTATCTAAGGGTTCTGAACATTTCTGGAGCTCCTTTTTGACATTGCCTCAGTAATTAGCTATAATTTTACTTTTTTAAATGAAAAGCATGAAAAAACAGAAGGGTCTTTTTATTACAAGGAAATCAGTCACTGCTGAAGGTTTTTTAATAACAGACAATTCTCCTTCCTTAGCAAGTCAGGAATTATGGTTAATGATGGATTTTCACTGATGGTAATAAGATATTATTTTATACCCCCCCATGAATTAAGTCCATCTAATAAATCTTTATTGAGGACCTACTAAGTGCTAGACACTATGATTTGTTTCTGTTTCCACAAATGTCACAATTGTCACTAATTGTGCACCTTTAGAGTAAGGATTATCTTTTTTTATATTTGTATACTCCTTTCAGGTACAAAACTCAGAACATGACCTAGTATAATTCATTCATTACATATTAGATATTCTATATTGCCTAAGGTTACCATCTATTGTTGATATTCTAGTAACAAAGCTAAGAATTAAATGGACTGTATTTCAAAACTACTACTTACTTGAAACAGAAAGTTGAAGCATGTTGGTAGTAAAAGAAACACTGTCTAAACTAAGGCTATTAGTGCCAGTTTGCTCTCTTTGGGTCTTGAGTTATAAGAATGTTGATTGCTTTGAGATTTTTACTTCTCAATAGATACAAGACTTTATCATCTTGAATTTTAAAAACAAAAGTGTTGGATTTTTCATTTTCTTTAGAATTTTGGACAGAAACAAGCTTTAAGAAATTTTTCAATTATCTAATTTAAATGTGACTTATCTTTAAAGCAAACTTGCTGCTGATGTAATTTTGAAAACTCTTGATTTGATTAACAAACTTAAACCTTTGGTTCCTGGTATGGAAGTAAGCTTCTACAAAATCCTTCAGGTGAGTTTAAACTCTTCAAACATTGAAGTTTATTCATACAAAAATGGTCCTAATATAAATTTCTGTTTTAATGTTCTTAATCTTTAGAAGATAACTCTCTGAATTGACATTGAGAAGAATGTTTAAAGTTGTTGTTTTAAGCAGTTATAATAGTCTCATTGCATAGTTATTTTATATACTTTCACAGGAATTGAACATACGTGCTCATGACACTAATGTAGAGAATGTTCACAATAGTGCTGCTTCCTCAGCCTTTTCCTTTCTTGTGTTGTACATTTCTTCATTTGTTTCTGTTGGCGTTGGAGGAAGAGTGGTATTTGTTTTAGGGTTTTTGTTTTTGGTTAGGGTTGATGTAGGGTATTAAGGGGATAGGGAGACAGCTGGAAGAAAAGGACTTGATTGTGATAATTAGAAGGGCTGTGCAGAAAATAGCTAAGTCACGAATTTCAATGATGATAGTAGCTGAATAAGATCTCTAGATGTTATCAAAAGACAAAGTACAACAAATATAGTTCAAAGTTCTAACTGACTTTTATTTGTGATTCTAGAATTTGGCAGCCTCATTCTATAAAATAGAATGAATCATTCCCCTGGGCTAAGCAGAGAAAGTTGACTTTATAGACCCGAAAAAGGCTGAAGAAAGCACAAATAGGGAACTGAAAGCAGATTGGTCATTTCAAAGTTACTTTTCTTATAGAGTTATAATAAAGGGGAGTTCCTTATTACACTGACTCAGGTTGACTGAAGTCTCCTGGTTTTGGGGAAAACTGGCCCATTTCAAAGTGCAATTTGATTACATGGCACTCATCCAAGTGACTCCTTTCTGGTTTGGTCTGGTCTGCTAAAGCATAGTGTAGGAGACTAGTCCAAAACATTGGCCTCTTAAAAACTTTGTGTAATAATATCTACCTTGATATCTACAGCACCTACCTTTACAACAGATGTTTAATAAAAATGTGTGAATTAAGTTACTATAGTAGCTTAACAGAGATGGCTCTAGTGACTATGTAGACAGTGTAGAAGCCAAAACTGAAACCTTAGGCAGGGACCACTGGTATGTTTTGAGAACATGTTTAAGGGACTGAGTTCAAATGTTGACTCTACTAGTTCTTAGTACAGACTTGAGTAAGTTATTTCACCTCTCTCAACTTCAATTTCCTCGACTATGAACTGGAAATAATGAGGCTTACCACTGAGGGTTTTGGAGATAAAGCTCTGTTCTTATCACAGTTCTATGACATTAGATTATGCTCAAGTACCTACAAGGTACTCAACATTTTAGTTATAAGGGATTTATATTTTAATATTTTCTTCACCAATATCTCAATGTATTTTTTAAAGGAGTCAAACTGATGTTTTGTCCATTATTTAACATACGTTTTTCATAATACAGGTTGAGCATCCCTAATTTGAAAGTCTGAAATGCTCCAAAAAACAAAATGTTTTAAGTACCAAAATGAGGCTCAAAGGTGATACTCAAAGGAAATGCTCACTGAAGCATTTTGGATTTTTGAATTAGGGATGCCCAACCAGTAAGTATATATAAATATTCTAAAATCTGAAAAAAATCAGAAATTTGAAACACTTCTGGTCGCAGACATTTTAGATATATGTTGATGACTTGGGACTTACAATACTAATGTAAAATATTTACTGACATGAATGATTGAAGTGAGTATTTTTTTGTTCTTTAAATTTAAATGTTCTAATTTAATTTGAATTTTACTTTTTATTTTATGGCCTTAATTTGGAAGTGATTGGCCATTTTTTTCTTTTAAATGATAGCTTGGAAAAAACATTAATTCTACACATCAGTCAGTTGTGGGTTTTTTAATCCATGAAAATATATAAGTTATAATTTTTATAGGCACATTTGAAAGCATTCAAAACCTTTGCCAGGTTTTTTTTTAAACTAGTGTTCGTATCGATTACATGGCAGTGTAAACAGCTTTAACAAGGTATAATATATTCAAACTATATTATAATATAGACTGTAATATGTTCAAACATTAGAAACATTTTAGAATTTGCCTAGAATTAAGATTTAGATATATTTACTCACCTCATATCTAAAAGAGTTGACATCGTTTATTCTTTCTGCTGCTTCTTTTTTGGTGTCTGATTTATTTAGGACCCACGTTTGATTACTCCTTTGGCTTTTGCTTTAACGTCAGATAATAGAGAACAAGTACAGTCTGGACTGAGAATATTATTGGAAGCTGCTCCACTGCCAGATTTTCCTGCTTTAGTGTGAGTTGTAATCATTTGCGTTGTTATCTCTTGTGGTGTTGGAATACCCTGCTATGTTTCTTTAGTCCTCAGTATAGATAGACAAGCAAATTAGTGAATTGAAGACTTCATTGTAATAGTAATTTTTCAAATGATTTCTAAAAATGTTTGATTCTTAGAAATGAGAAGTTCAGATGTATACTCACTCAGGGAAAAGCTAGATCCAGGCAGTTAAATGTTTTTCAGGTACCATCCCTCTATGTCTCTAGCCACTTCTTTTTAATGATAACTTCTGGACACTAAGCTTACATCCTCCCAGTTTAGTTCCTCCATAGAAAGAGCTTTTCCTTCCCGACCGTTTAAGGAAAAGGTCTAAGCATTAGTCATTGACCAGTCCTGGGTCATCAGTGAGAACGATGTGGACTAAAAGTTACTTGGGATAGGAGAATAGGAGAGTTCCTAAAGAAAAAAATCTGAGCGTTTATCAGAAAGTTGAAAAATGACTACCAGGCAAAATTTTCTACTAGTTAATTTCAAGCAATAAGAGTATTTGCAATTATGTTGGAAAAAAATTCAGGTTTCAGGTCTCTCTGAACTAAATGTCTATTAGGAATCTGGTTTAAAAACTTTTTTAAAGTCATTTATACATACAAATTTGTAAAAATGGTTTGAATAATTTGAAGCAGTTGATAAACAGGTAAGATATTCCCTATATACCAGGGTCAGCAAACTGGCCAGTGGGCAGGCACCTGTTTTTGTAAATAGTTTTATTAGAATATGGCCACACTCGGCCGGGCGCGGTGGCTCAAGCCTGTAATCCCAGCACTTTGGGAGGCCGAGACGGGCGGATCACGAGGTCAGGAGATCAAGACCATCCTGGCTAACACAGTGAAACCCCGTCTCTACTAAAAAAAATACAAAAAACTAGCCGGGCGAGGTGGTGGGCGCCTGTAGTCCCAGCTACTCGGGAGGCTGAGGCAGGAGAATGGTGTAAACCCGGGAGGCGGAGCTTGCAGTGAGCTGAGATCCGGCCACTGCACTCCAGCCTGGGCGACAGAGGAAGACTCCGTCTCAAAAAAAAAAAAAAAAAAAAAAAAAAGAATATGGCCACACTCACTCATTTTTATACTCTATGTTGCTTTCACTCTATAAAAGCAGAATTGAGTAATTGTAACAGAGACCAAGTAGGCTCTTGAGTCTAAAATACTTACTGTTGACCTATAAGAAAAAGTGTGCTGGTCCATGCTATATGCTATTCACTGATTTAGCAATTCCACTTTTTAGAATTAGCAATTTAGCTCATCATACCTTAAGAGTTAAAGTATGGGATGTAAGACCTAGAGAACATGTAACCAAAATTCCCTTAATTTTATAATAAATTTTTTTAACAGCAACAACAAAAATAACATAGGAAGCTTTTCAAGTTACAAGTTAAAAGTGGTCTATAAAGCTGCTCTATTTTGTGATGGCCTACTTGCATAAACTGGTAATCTGACATGAAACAAAACTTCAAAAGCTTCAAAGGGGAAATTTGCAGCCTCACTGAACATGGGAGTCTTATCCTCTGCCTCTGTATGTGAGGCCTTCCCACCATTTTTACTGTGTCTTGGCATTCCCTATCCTATTTGTGTTGTATATAACTTTCTCTTTGAGCATTATCTCAGGTGTCCATTTTATGCTTGCTATTTAGTGCCCTTATTTGACATTATCTTGGGCAGTTTAATAAGCTGAATGAATGTATATTATGGATGCATTGGTAGGTATGATTTTTTTGTGTGTGTATTTACTTGTTTGTTTTCGAGACAGGGTCTCACTCTATCACCCAGCCTGGGGTGCAGTGGTGTGATCATGACTTACTGCAGCTTCGACCTCTGGGACTCAAGTGACACTCCCTACTTAACCCCCTGAGTAGCTGGGAGCACAGGCGTGTGCCATCACACCTGCCTAATGTATTTATTTTTTGTAGAGGTAGGGTCTCACCATGTTGCCCAGGCTTGTCTCGAACTCTTGGACTCAAGTGATCCTCCCAAAGTGCGGGGGTTATAGGTGTGAGCCACCATGCCCAGCCTATGGTAAATTAGACTGAGTGCCTGCCATCATGCAGTTTGTACTTTAGTTAAGAGATAAGTGAAAAAAATATTTTTTTCACTTCACTATGGAGAGGATGGGTGGTTAATAATAGTATTATATAGGGCATTAATGAATGCCTCTCTGAAGAGGTGAATTTGAACTAAGACCTGATGATAAGAAGGAGCCAGACCTGTGGAGATGTGGTAGAAAGCATGTTCCAGGTAAAGGAACAGCTCATATGAAGGCCTGGGGTAGGAGAAAGAGAGGATTTTAAAGGGCTAGAATGGAAGTCAGGTTGGTGAAAAGTATGTACTGAGTGAGAAAGGTAAAGGACTAAGGATGTAAAGGCCAGGTGATATCCCCCATGAATAAGAACATTATTCTGACCAGTACCAATAACTTTGTACTTATTACAGATAATCCACACTCATAAACTAGTCTTATCATGCCTCCAAACCAGAAGTGAAACTGTCATTATAAAGGGTTAGAAACAGAAAAGTAGATGCTCTGGAAAATTTGGAATATTTCCGAAGACTTCATTTCATCATGGTCTCCAAGATTATTTGAAGACATCTATTCAAAAAAAGGACCCATTCTTAAAGATTCCCTAATTCTACACTAAGTCTGCCTTTTTTTTCTATTTTCATATATATTTTTTTCCTTTCTTTGACTCCCATTCAGACTTGGAGAAAGTATAGCAGCAAATAATGCCTATAGACAACAGGAAACAGAACATATACCCAGAAAAATGCCCTGGCAATCATCAAATCACAGTTTTCCTACATCAGTAAAGTGTTTAACTCCTCCTCATTTGAAAGATGGTGTTCCTGGATTGAATATTGAAGAATTAATAGAGAAACTTCAGTCTGGAATGGTGGTGAGTGAAAAATAGCAATTATAACCTGGTACATATTAGCTACATGTCAGCCCCTATTATAACGTGTATCTAAACACTGTTAGGTACAGATTTCACTATTGAAAACTTATTTTTTAATATAAAAAATAACAATATTCTGGAAAATTTGGAAATGAAGAAAAATCAGTCAAAATTTCAACATTTTGCTGGGTGTGGTGGCTTATACCTGTAATCCCAGCATTTTGGGAGGCCGAGGCGGGCAGATCGCCTGAGCTGAGGAGTTCAAGACCAGCCTGGGCAATATGGCGAAACCCCATCTCTATTAAAAATACAAAACATTAGCCGGGCGTGGTGGCGCATGCCTGTTGTCTCAGCTACTCAGCAGGCTAAGGCAGGAGAATCACTTGAACCCGGGAGGCAGAGGTTGCAGTGAGCCACGATCACACCACTTCACTCCAACCTGGGTGACAGAGTGAGACCCATCTCAAAAAAGAAAAGAGAAATATTTGTGACCTTTCTGATGTAGCATTTGTTTTTATTTTGTTACTCATCATTAAGTTTTAATGATTTAGTTTTGAAGTAGGCACTTATTTTGTCATTGTGTCAAAATATTTTATTAAAATTTTCCGATTTTTTTTTTTACTTTCTTAAAATGTAGGTAAAGGATCAGATTTGTGATGTGAGAATATCTGACATAATGGATGTATATGAAATGAAACTATCCACATTAGCTGTGAGTATAAGCTTATTTTAATGATGTATAATATGCTTTAATAGATGTGTTCCTAAAATGAAAATTAATGATATGTTTTCTTGTAGTCCAAAGAAAGCAGGCTACAAGATCTTTTGGAAACAAAAGCTCTGGCCCTTGCACAAGCTGATAGACTGATTGCTCAGCATCGCTGTCAAAGAACTCAAGCTGAAACAGAGGTGTGTAGAATATAAAGACACATCTGATTTCTAGAAAAATTTTAAAAATGAAGTAAAACATGCAAAATATTAGTTGTGTATTTGTTGCTCTAATTGAATTAAATTCTCCTTAGCATTTGACATGCCTACTTCCTTCTTCCTGAAATTCTGTCCTCTAATTTTGATTACATCATTATCTGATTTTTTTTCCTATCTAGTATTATTTTCCTGTATTATTTATGTTGTACCTTTAAGTGTTGGGAACTCTGAAGATTTTGCTCTAAACCTTTATCCTTCAGTTTTGTGTTCTGTGGTTTCAGTGGTTACCAAAATAGTAATGTTCCTAATTTTATATGTCAAGCACAGATCATTTTCCTGAGCACCAAGTGCCTATGTTGCTCCATTTAAATATACAGCAAATACCACAAACTCAACATAACCAATAATGAACTAATCACCCTCTCCTTTTTAGAATTATTCTTGTGTATTCCCTCTGCTGTTTTTAGTGTTCTACAAATAACCCTGGAAATCACACAGTTTTTACCTCCTGTAATTATTCACCAAGTCCAGTTAATTTTACCTTCTAAATATTACTCTTTTCTGCCGTATCTCTGTTTCTACCACTATTTGTTATAGGCTGAATCCTTTTCATTTTTTTGTATGAATCATAGCAGAGCAGTTAGTCTTCCTACCTGTAGTCTTCTACCCTCTTCTCAGCTACTCTACAGCCAGTCATCTTTCCTTGGTTCTACCCCTTCACCTAGCCCCTCCCCCAGGGATCTCTAAGGCAGTAAAATGATCCTGTCCCTCTTGTGCTGAGTATCTTTCACAGTAGCTGCTGTTGCTTTCCGAATATCATTAAAATTCTTTAGTTTGGCGTACAAGGAATCTAACTACATAGTCCTCAATCCACATCTTTCATTTCTGCGCGTTCTTTGCAGTCAACCATGTTAGGCTACTGTGTTTTTTTTGGAACTTGACATATTCTGGTATTTCCTCGACTTTCCTTGACTTAGCATGTCTGGAACACCTTTTCCTCTCTTCTGCCTAACTCATAATCCTTCAGATTTCAGTTAAAATACCCCCATTACCCAGAAGCCTACTCTGGTCTCCTTCCCACACATATGTTTGACGATCCTTCCTCTGTGTATCAAACCTATGCTTATCAATAACATTTTTCAAACCATGTGAAAATTCTTTTATCCCACCACTCATGGTATCAAAGACTGCTTCTATAGCTCCAGGCCCTAGCATAACACTCGGCACGTTATAGATGCTCAGTAAATTTGGCATTCTACTATGTACATATATAATGTATACCTTGAGTGAACTTACTTCAGCAATATGAAATTACCAGCAGATACAAATGGAATCTATACAACTTGATATTATTTATAATAAATGAATTATAATAAAGTGTTCCTGGCTTTTGATAGATGCATCAAAATGAGTGACTAGTAAAATGCCTCTTAAGTATTTTCAGAATAATGATATTCTTTTTTTTTCCCCCGTATGTATTTCTTTTTTTCTTATTTTAACATGGTTTCATTTGTCTTAACTGGTATGTTGAATTTGTCACAAATTACAAGAAAGAACATTAGTGATATTAAAGTAATTTTTCCTTCTCTTCTCATAGCACATTCTTACATTATCTGTCTGTTGGACATGTCTTGTATTTTATTAGAGAGTTTAGTATTTTATCCATGTTACTGGAAAAGTTTCTTATAAAAATAGTACTAAATAACTGGATATAGCTTCTTTACAAAATCATAAAAACAAAGAAGGGCTTAGGGTTTTGTTTAGCATTCTAAAATAAAGTCCAAAGGGCTCGAGGGAACCGAGTTTTTTTATTCTAGTGACTTTTCTGCTTTTTTAGTGTTTCATATCACATAATAAATACATGCAGGTTATGGTATAGGTTACATTCCTTGATTATACTAGCTTAATTTTAAGTGTTTGATTAAGCATCTGTGATGTCGTTAAGATTTTGTTCTTAATTCTCACCTGAAATGAGAATGCTGATGGTGTGCACACTTAGCAGTTTAGTGTTAATGGCTACCTCTGAGGACCATACCTTTTTAATTGAATACTGTATGTAGCGCTACCTTCATGTTGCTGCAGTTGTATCCATTTCCATTAATTTGATCATAGTGAGATTGTTTTTATCAGATAATATATTAAATAAAAAATCATAACAGTATCCAACTTATTAGAAGTAAAGTCTTAAGTATATATGACTAATACAGCTTTGCATGACCCAATAGATAACAGCTTATTAGTTACTTAGTAAACTTTTAAATTCTAGGTATGTGTTGAGCATATGATATAGATGATGGAAAAGTATTTTTTTTTTTTTTTTTAAGGCACGGACACTTGCTAGTATGTTGAGAGAAGTTGAGAAAAAAAATGAAGAGCTTAGTGTGTTGCTGAAGGCACAGCAAGTTGAATCAGAAAGAGCCCAGAGTGATATTGAGCATCTCTTTCAACATAATAGGAAGTTAGAGTCTGTGGCTGAAGAGCATGAAATACTGACAAAATCCTACATGGAACTTCTTCAGAGGTAAATAAAGTAAAATCTCCTGTGTAAGGTTAGAATCTAGAATGAACAAACAGCATTTTTTTTTCTGAGACCCGAAAATCCTTTTGTAAGCATTTCATGTATTCTGATAACACATAAGGTAAGTAATTAGCAAGAAACTTAAGTCATTATGAAATGAAGTGTTGCTTCCTCAAATTCAGTATCAATGTTGTAAACAAAATACAGGTCTTTCCAGTTGACTTTTATGTATTCATACAGTCAGCAGTCATTTGGGAGATAAGCTCCACAAGGACAAGTTTGTCTGTTTTGATCACTGACAGATCCCTAGGGCCTGCAGGAGTGCTTGCTGCATAGTTAGGCACTTCATTAATAATTTCTAAATAAACTTGGTTGTCAAATTAGTATTAGGTTGAATGGTCATTTCTGCAGATCAAAAGTAGTTGAATATTGGCAATTTCATATCATTCAGCCTAACAGAATGGAAATCTAGGTGTGTTTAACTCATCTCTTAATGTCATTGATTATAGTTTACTTACATGTGTGATTATATCTGTAGAATAAGTTTGCATAGGTGAATTGCTAAGTTAAAGGGTATGTATATTTAATATTTTGATAGATATTTTTAAATTTTCCTCCAAAATGTGATACAGATTGAGTATCCTTTTTGAACACAATGGTAGCACTCAAAAAGTTTAATATTTTAGAGTACTTTTGATTTTAGACTGATTTTGGATTTTCAAATTAGTGTTGCTCAGCCTGTACCAATTTGTGTGCCTACTAACAAAGTGTGATTGGTTTTCCCTCCCTTATAAACTCTTACCTTTTTACGCCAATTGTAAAACTTCTGAATTACAGGGAAGACCAGGAACAATTATGTATTTTCTACCAACCAATAAAAGTAAAAGCACTCTGGGGGAACTTGTTTATTACTTTATATTTTAAGGTCGTTCTATGCTGTTAATACAGAGATACAGAAATTTTTAGCTTGGCATGGTACATATGCTTATTTGCCCATCAATAATAATGAAGGGTGAGAAATGAATAGTATCTAGAAAATGATGACAAAGTAATTTTTTAGCAGGATATTTTCCCTAGCAACTTTTTACAAAGTCTGATTGTTTGAGGCACCACTGATAAAGTGTGGTATTAGCAATAAGCCAGGTTGAGAACTTCAGCAGTGAAGAAAATATGTTATAGAACTGAAATGGGGTCCGTTTGCTCAATACAGTAAAACCAGGTGTCTGCACCAAGGTTTGCAGTGATAGAACAAAAGGCTTTTATTGCAGGGTGCCAAGCAAGGAGGACCAGGCAGCCAAATGCTCAAATCTTGACCGTCCCCCAGTAGCTTGCAGGCAAGGATTTTTAAAGGCAGGAGTAAATTTTAGGAAAGTGGAAGTTACAGGCAAAAATCATAAATCAATAAAGGTTACACATTGGTTTCAGTTTAAAGGAGAAGATATTGTGGAGCAGGGACTTACACGTGATGGGTAGACCCAAAGATTTTTCAATTTGCAGTTGGTTAAGGAAGAGCAGCCTTGTTTAAAAATTTAGGGTCAGTAGAAAAATGTGAACTAGCTAGGGAGGGTGACTTTGTTCAAGACCGTGAGAAAGAAACTTAGAACAAAGAACAGTTGTTAAAATTCAGCCTTAATTTCCCCCTTATCTGAGGTCTGCTTGTCAATGGATCTGGTCAGTGGGGTTCCTCAGTGAGGGCCGGGTCTCTGAAATACAACTCAGGGACATGTGTTAAGTTGTTTTCTTCAAGTTCTATAAAGAATCAAGTCTCTCTGGTACTCTTAAGATTGTTAACTATTGATTTATGCTACTATTACCTTCCTGTTTAACAAGTTACTTATTTACTTCTAGGACTAGCTAGGTCCCTGGAATTTCCCTTGAATGAACTCAGGATTTTCCTTTATTTTCCAGCTTGAGGTCCTCAGACCTCCTAAAAAGGGGGTCCCTGCTATGTCTCACATAGAGAACCTAACAGATAGGCAGGGTCCAAGAAAAATATGTGGTTTCTAAGACCTGCTTATGTTCCAGCTAGTGATTTAGGGGCCAGAAGGTGAAATTCCTTGAATGGACAAATGGATAACATGTAAATGAAGCTGGCTGGGGAAAAGGTCATTTGTAATGGTCAGGACTGTCTAAAGGTACTCAAACTCAGATTGTTGAAATTTCTATATGGATTAGATACAAAAACTGCTAGCCAAATTTGGCTACTGGTTTTCTTTTGTTTGTTTTGGTTTGGTTTTTGGGTTGCTTTTTAAAAATCTTTGTACTTAGTGAAATAAAAATGACATTTTATGCTTATGGTAGTTGAGTATCAAAGTATCACTTTAGAAAGGATTTTTTTCTGTGTTTACCTTGCAGATAAAATAAATAGGACTATTAGATGCAGAGTTTTAAAGAGACAAATGTAGAACCCTAAACTTATTTATAGCAAATTATGTAATGCAATATCATCTGTAAAATAAGGCTTTATATCCATAAATATGAGATTAATGCCCCACACATTTCTATCTCATAGTAATTTTTACTACATCTGTCAACCAAAACATGTATTTACTGCCTTTTAGAGTTGATCAAATTCTGTTTATGTCCTGCTTGTTCATAACATTCCTTCTCTTCTAGCATATGCAATTTGGTTAGAAGAGATAGTAAAGAAAACACTATTGAGTTTCTTTTCTCCTTCATGTTTTCCTCCATAATGATGCCAACTCATTTTCTTGTCTTTTCAGAAATGAAAGTACTGAAAAGAAGAATAAAGATTTACAGATCACATGTGATTCTCTGAATAAACACATTGAGACAGTGAAAAAGTTGAATGAGTCACTCAGGGAACAAAATGAAAAGTAAAATCTCTAGTTCTATATTCTGAATACGTGGGATTTTTCAAAACCAAAATGATTCTCTTTATATAGAACATTGTTTTTTATTGATAAAATTAATAGAATTGTCACTTATTTTAGATATAAGATATATATTTGGTGGAATTCACAGGCAATTGCTGTTCTTAGAAATTTTGTTTTAAATGCTGAGCGTGATGGCTCACGCCTGTAGTCCCAGCACTTTGGGAGGCTGAGGTGGGTGAAGCACATGAGGTCAGGAGTTTGAGACCAGCCTGGCCAACATGGTGAAACTCTGTCTCTACTGAAAATACAAAAATTAGCTGGGTGTTGTGGTGGGTGCCTGTAATCTCAGCTACCCAGGAGGCTGAGGCAGGAGAATAACTTGAACCTGGGAGGCAGAGGTTGCAATGAGCACAAGATCATGCCCCTGTACTCCAGCCTGGGTGACAGAGCGAGACTTTCCTTTTTTTTTTTTTTTTTTTTTTGTATTTTTAGTAGAGATGGGTTTTCACCGTGTTAGCCAGGATGGTCTCGATCTCCTGACCTTGTGATCCGCCCACCTTGGCCTCCCAAAGTGCTTGTTAGGGGAAAAAAGTTACAAATGGCATATGGTTCATTAATGTTTTCTTCCATTTTTTTATAACTTCAGAAGTATTGCCCAATTAATAGAGAAAGAAGAACAGAGAAAAGAAGTACAGAATCAGCTAGTAGACAGAGAACATAAGCTAGCAAGTAAGTGGCTTCTTATTTAATACATTGTCTATTTTTAATGTATTTGTTTTGGAAGCATGAGTAGTTTTGTTTGCTTTTTTATTTTCTACTTCCCTTATTGTTTTAAACCTTAAATCACATTTGAAATGGCTTCCCTTTTCTTGACGTAATGTTTCACAAAAGCAGTTCAGTTTGATCAAGCTGAAAAAGCAGTACATTTTTTAAATTTAGGAACTATAAGAAATTGGCCAGGCACAGTGTCTCACTTCTGTAATCCCAGCACTTTGGAAGACGGAGATGGGTAGATTTCTTGAGCTCAGGAGTTTGAGACCAGCCTGAGCAACATGGTGAAACCCCATCTCTACAAAAAATACAAAAATCTAGCCAGGTGTGGTAGTGTGTACCTGTAGTTCCAGCTACTCATGAGGCTAAAGTGGGTTGGAGAATCACTTGAACCTGGGATATCAAGGCTGCAGTGAGCTATGTTCATGCCACTGCACTCCAACCTGGGTGATAAAGCAGGACTGTCTCAAAGAAAAAGAGGAAAGAGATGATTGCCCATTTAATTTAATTTAGTTTTTTTATAATTTCAACTTTTAGAATCAAGGGGCATGTGTGCAGGTCTGTTACATTGGGTATCTTGCATGACATGGAGGTTTAGGGTATGGATCTCATCACCCAGGTAGTGAGCATAGTACCAAATAGGTAGCAATAGGTAATTTTCAACCCCCTGCTAACTCTAGTCTGCAGTATATATTAGTTCCATCTTTATGTCTATGTGTACTCAATGTTTAGTTCCCACTTAGAAGTGAAAACTTGGAGTATTTGGTTTTCTGTTCCTTCGTTAAATAATTTAGGATTATGGATTGCCATTTTAAAAATGAAAAAAAGTTTAAGGAACATAACAGCAGGTGGCAGTATTAGGTAACTTTTAGTTACTAGCTTCTTAATGGTATATTTGAAATGATCCAGAAAAACATTTTTGTTCTCACTTGCCTTAGAGCGCAGGCACCTAACTATATAATTTTTCATAGTTGTAGCTCTCCCTTTTCTAACCCTTACACTCTGAGGATTGTCCTTCACCTATATAGCATGTTATATTTGGAACAGAGGATGGAAGAAAGACATAGAGATTTGGTATTTTCTATAGAATACTGTCATAAAAAAGAAGTTTCTCTTCATTGTTCTAGTTATTTTTCTTTTGCTCTTATAGTAGCTACTAAACCATTTCAGAGTAGTCAGTGTAAGACCTCTGAGTATATACTTGACTTTTTTTTTTTTAAGATTTGCATCAGAAAACAAAAGTACAAGAAGAAAAGATTAAAACCTTACAAAAGGAAAGGGAAGATAAGGAAGAAACCATTGATATTCTTAGAAAAGAATTAAGCAGAACAGAACAGATAAGAAAAGAGCTGAGCATTAAGGTAAGAATCTGTTCCATTTCTCGTTTGCAGTAAAATGAAAAAGTCTGTTGTGAAAAGGGTAAATATGGATAAATAAATGTACTGTTTCTTCAGCAAATTTTTTAGAAGATATTAGGATCTCAAAGCAGCTTGAGTATCATTTGTTATGAGGTTTTCATAATGTATTTTCTAAAATAGTTAAGCAGTTATTAAACAGATACTTTGTGTCAGCACTTACTATTTTCAAGTGTGCAAAGAATACAGAAAGGGGTTACCAGTACTTGATGTCATACATAGGTAGCTGTATAATTTTCACTTTAACAAATATTATATAATATGTTAATATTAATAAATATTTTCAACTTAGAACTGAAGAAACTGAGTCTGAGGTTACTTACTAAAGTCACACAGCTAATATGTGAATCAGCAGGTATATATTCTGAATCTGAGTCCAGGGTTCTTTCTATATTACCGTGGTTGCATAGATTGAGTGGTAGCTATGAATTGTACTTTCTGGCCTGTTTACTACCAGAAAGATGAGAACAGACTAGGATTGAAAGACTGATCTACTACTGCTACTGAGTAACGGAAGAGGCATAAAATTTAGTATCACATTTACAGTTTTTCTGGTTCTGCTTTAATGTAATTATCTTATTAGTTATTTTAATATGTAGTGTGTAGTATTTTCTGCAAAATTTCAGCTGCTGGCATTAACTTAAGTTGAAAGTGTTCTCAATTTGTATTATATTGTTTAATGATTTTTCGTTTTAAACTACCATATAATTGAATTAACTGAAGTATAATATAGTATTTCTTGAAATGGTTGTTGTACAAATAAAAAAATAAAAGCATCTTAAAGTATATGTATAGAGAAAATATTAAAGTTATTTTTCTTCTCAATTATTCCTCCTCCCCCAACCCCAATTCCTTAGGCTTCCTCCCTAGAGGTTCAAAAGGCACAATTAGAAGGTCGTTTGGAAGAGAAAGAGTCCTTGGTGAAACTTCAGCAAGAGGAATTGAACAAACACTCCCACATGATAGCAATGATCCACAGTTTAAGTGGTGGAAAAATAAATCCAGAAACTGTGAATCTCAGTATATAGACATTATGGCATTTTGGAATTTGTAATCTAATGATATTTTTGATGTATTTATCTATTGGAGGGAGTGGGTAGGGGAGTTAATTTGTGACTTCACAACAATAAGTTATCTAATTTAGTAAAGACCCTGATCTGATGCATGTTTTTTATTTGATAGTTTGAATAGAAATTTAAATGTTTAAGTTTTACTTTTTGTTTCTGGCTTTTATTGCTTAAGGCTTTCTTTGGTTCTTACATTAGAAAATCATTTTTAACCTTCATTATCATTTTTCTAAGGTTCTTTCCTTTTTCTTAGTTGCTTTCTATTCTGTGTTGCCTGTCTTATTTATTGTCATTTGTGATTATTTAGATCTTAAGACCAAACTTTCTTGATATAACAATCCTAAAGATTACAAAATAAAAATATAGAGGGAGTAAAAATAAAAAGTAAAGTTAAAAGGGAGAAGGTATGATAATGCTAGAGAAGTTTTTCTCTGAAGAAGCAGAGAAGAGAATATTAGTGAATTTAAAATAATTTTTATTACTGCATTTAAAATGCAGTAACATGTGGCATAATTTCTAAATTTGAAAAAAATGCAATGGTAATAAAATGTATAAAAATTAGAAAACTGTTATTGTGTTAAACTATTACATTTAAATGATTACATTTAACACAATAGCTGTCTCATAAAAAATCTAATAACTTGTAGAAGTTTTTTGTAAGGTATATTTAGTGTTTTTTTTTCTCTTTTTTCAAATGTTGCATAGTGGTCTAGATCATCTATAATTGATTTACGTAAGGATCATTTGGATTCTACTCTTGCTGCATATTCAGAAAAATATTATTTACTGTTAATTCTGATATGAATTGTATTTAATGTGTTGTCTTAAATAGTTTTTAATTGGTTCATTTAATTTTAAAGCATAGGTTAAATACCTTTATGGTTTTTTTAAATACAAGGGTCCTTCTGTACTTTTCATTTGAATCATATGCTCTAACTACTGTGTAAGAAAAGTTTTTACATCAATATTTTGATTGATTTTATTGCTATACCATTACAGTCATTAATTTTAGTTGGTGTTTTCTTCACCATATCTCTCTTTGATTTAAGTGAATTTAGATTTGTGCAGTTCTGGAAATTTTTTAAAAGGTATTACGCAGAGTAAAACATTTTAAATTACTATTTGTTCTATAGAGGAGGTACATTCTGTTTCTCTTTTGAAATTGCATGCATTTTCAATCAAATACGAAAAAGTTTAAGTGGATAGATAAGACTGAAGAATAAAAGGTTCTATAAAAGGGACAAAACGTTAAAGAAATAAATGAATGAATGAACCAAAAACTCTAGGGAAAATCAGTCTATCTTTACAATTCAGACATCTTGAGACAGCCTAGCCTAGTGCTGTCCTATACAATTTTCTGTGATGGCAATGTTCTGTGATGTCTGATACCATAGCCAGTGGCTACAAGTGGCCATTGAGCGCTTGAAATGTGGCCTGTGCAACTGAAAAAGCTAAATTTTTAATTTTATTAAATGTAATTTTGATAACCATCCTATTAGATAATACAGAAAAGATCTATATAATTACCCCATATATATATTGTAGCCGTTTTTTAATGTAATTTTAACCTGTTTATTTCTAATCTTCTCTCCCTAAAGAGGAAAGTCCATACTGCAGCTTTGAAAGTGAGTACTAATCATCACCCTTTATCTCTTTCTGTCTCTTGTAACACCTTTCATATTGTTTCTATTGTTTTTCTGAGTGCCTTGATTATATCACTTACTTTTGTTTTCTTGTTGGACCTTGTACCTCATTTAAAAAGCAAAAGTGTGTGTAAATATTTTTTTCTAAAAAATTTAATCAAATTTGAACCACCACCATAGTCAGGGTTTTGTATGTGTGTATGCATGTCTACTTCCTGATGGAAAAAACAAAACTTAGGAAGTGCATCATTATATTAGGATTACTCACATCCTCTTAAAATTTTGCTGGGGAGAGTTTGTCTCCAAAGTATACATTAACACAGTTTCTTTTACTATTTACACTTGCCACTTGAACAAATAGACACGTCTCATAAAATTTGGTTGGTTGAAGTTTATATTAAATTGTTCATTAATTTAATGTCAGGAGAAAAGGAAAATAATGAAACTGTATGCTGTGTCTTAGGAAATTATCAGGTCAGTATCCCTTTGGGTCTATTTACTTAAAAGGACTAGTTATTTAAGAATAAAGAGAGATTCTATCATGAGTTAGGACTGTCACTTAAATGAAAATATGTTTAAATTTCTACTTCTACGTGTGGTCATTCATTCATACGTTATAGATACTTATCAAGTTATATTCCCTAAAACTCAGTCTTACTTTAATTTGATTCTTTTCCTCCTTTCAAATAGTTATGAACTATATTTACAACTTTGCTTTTGGCATGTATACCATTGTACTAGCCATGTGTTCTGTTTGTGACTTAATCCTTTGCAAGAGTTAGCAAACATTTTCTGTAAAGGGGCAGATGGTAAATATTTTAGGCTTTATAGGACATAGTTTCTGTCACAACAACTCAACTCTGCTATTGCAGCACAAAAGCAGCCACAGACAATACATAAATTAATAGTCATGACTGTGTTCCAGTCAAACTTTAGTAACAAAACTAGTCAAAATTTTGCTATTAGATGTTACATTTACTTATTAAGAAATGTCTTTTTATGTTTGGTAATCTTTATCTTGAGGTCTATTTTATTTGATAATAACATAGCCACTTAGTTCTTATTGTGTTTTCTGTTGGCCTGATACATCTTTTTCTATCAGTTTACTTTTAACCTGTATGTTTATATGTAAAATTCATGACTTGTAAACAAATAGAGTTAGGTCTTCCTTTTTTATCAATTTTAACAAAGTAAGTCCTTTAACAATCCACTTAGAGTTAATATTGTACTGCTTAACGTAAAATGTAGAAACCTTGCAACTATATAGGTCCTTCTGTCCTCTTCTCATCCTTCATGCTATAGTTGACATGTGCATTACCTCTACTTATGTAGCTAACCCTCAAAACCATGTGATAATTTTTGCTTTAAGCAATTATATGGAAAGACTCTGGCTGTCAACATCAGTATGTTCACCTCTTTGCATGCACCAATGTAAAGTAGTTTCTTCAGGGTTTTTCCGTTTGGAAATAGTAAGTAGTTTGTGGGCAGATACTGCATATATGCTGTTTCTCTTCCAACTTGCATCTGCTAGTTTTAGTATTGTTGGTAATTCTTACTTGAATCAGTTATTAATTTGATGGTTGGTTGCCAAGTGAATATTTTCCTACTTTTTAAAGGTAGAAAATTGGACATTTTGGTAATGTTATAATGTATTGAAAATAGCAGTCTACATGACATCACTCATATCATTCACAAAATTAAAATATAGTACTTAGAGTTTTTCAGTTAATACAGCATGTACTTTTTGTGCATATTCTTACAAGCAAAGCATGTGAGATTTGCTTTCTATAGTTTAAGAAAATAAATAGGCATGTTAAGCATATTGATTTTTTTTAACTACAAGACCTTTTGATATTTTTCTACCCAAACCCCCTAATTTGAGAATTACTTATTTAAATCATGACATTAGATTCATTTGGCTCATCCCTTTACCCCTTTACCTTGGCTCTCAGTGATTACCAATAAATATTAAATGAGTATTACCCATAATAAAGTATTTTGGATTAAGAAAATAATTGTACATTTCCAGCTTTCACTGAGTTTATGTTCTAGATAATTAACTTTTAAAAATTAAAACTTGGTCACTGCTCATGCCTGTAGTCCCATAATTTTGAAAGCCTAGGCAGGCAGATCATTTGAGGCAGGGGTTCCAGACCAGCCTGGGCAACAAAGTGACGCTCATGTCTCCACAAAAGATAAAAAAAAAATTAGCTAGGTGTGGTGACATGTCCCAGTGTAGTGAGCTGTGATTGCACCACTACATCCTAGACTTTTTATATATATGTGTGTGTGTGTGTGTGTGTGTGTGTATGTATATATATATATAGCCTATTTAATGCAGATGTTTCATTGATTTTTTTATAATGTGAATAATGAGCCTGATAAGTCCTTGAAATTATATGCCTCTGTACTCCATAAATTGAGAGGGAACATTGTGAACTCAAAAAATCATGGTTTATTTTCAACATGCAAATCACTTTGAAACCTTATACAGTCTCACTCAGTTAAGCATTTTGCAGCGAATTGACTTTCTTCCTGTCATCAAAGACCTCTGTGAGTTTTGTTTCGTTTATGCTTGTGTTCATTTAAACATTTCAGAACTACCCCAGAAAAAACTTAATTATCACATAACCAGGAATAAGAGGTATAACTCTTAAAACCCAGTTTTTTTTGCACATTGAGCTACAAGTATCCCTTCATAAATGCAAGAAGGAGTAAGTCTTTTCCTTCCAACTAAATATAACATTTTAGTTGTCTACTTCCTAAGGACCCAGTATCTATATTCTCTCGATATCTCAAAATATGATGGATAATCCCAGGATACATGCAAAGGACTTTTTACATGCTGTCCACTACTACATTAGAGAGTGACATTTTCAAAGTCAACAGAGTGGATTGGCTTTCACTTTCATTATGTTATTAAAAACTAATTTTCCAGTAAGTAGCTGAGCATTTGGCAGGGATTTAGTAATGAACATGATTTTGCCTCTCCATTACATTATCTTCACTGTTATTCTAAGTATTATATTTCATCTCACTTATCTCAAAGAGCCAAAAGATATAATGTATTAGAGTAGCCGTATGCTTTTCTCAAACCTCAAATAAAAAGGCTTATTATTAACCCTAGCAAAAGACAACACAACTGTTCATCTTCGATTAGGCGGGATTTTCATTGTAACTGAAAGTAAAGGCTATCAACTACTACATACTAATTTGTGTAATACCCACAGTTAATAATCAGCATTTTAGAGCTGAAAGAATTCTGAAAGAACAGTGAGCCCAAGCCCTTGTGTGTAAAAAAGATGTGAAAAAGATGCATTCTCAGAAAAGAGGTCCCATGATTCAAACACAAACTGATATGACTTTTAAATTAGTATATGTTGTTATGGAACACACAGAAGCTTCACTTCTAGCAATTTATCTGAAAAAAAAATAACGTTATGCACTAAGATTTATGTACAGTAATATGGCACAAAATTGGAAACAATTTATACCGTAATAGATTGGTTAATCAGTATAAGGTACAGTCATGTAGTAAAATAATAAGCATCCTTTTTGAAAAGTTACTGAAATATATAATAAGTATTGGGAAGAGATTGTTGGTGTGTTAAGTGAAAAAAAGTAAGCCAAACTATTTGTAAACAGTGATTCAGATACCTGAGTATTTTTAAGATTTGTGTGTGTGTATATATATATATATATATATATATATATATATATGTATATTAGAAACAGTGAACAGTGGTAACCTCTGCATAATGAAATTATAATTGACTTTTTTGGTTTCTAAAAGTACAATGTTACTTTAACTTTTTAAAACCATATTTTAAAACATTGGTTTGGTGACCACATCTAGATTTGACTTCTGGCTCTACCTAAGGAAAGTTTTTATTTAATGCTTTATTCTTCTGTAAAATGAGAATAATACATACTTACTAGAAAAAATATGTTAAAAAAATACAAATAAAGCTCATGGCTTTTAGTAGATTTTCAATAATGGTTTATCTCCCTTTTGGAGAAGGAATGAAGTAAAAACTGTTATGTTCTTTGTCCTTGGTTTCTTCTTTCTCTTCATCAGACATTTGGCCAATTGAGAAAGTAAAATGAATGGTAAAGATTCTCTGTTATTTTCAAGAGTAGTAGAGGATGGAGAGATTAGGAGTTAAATCTTTAAATTATTGTCTACACCAAGAGTAACAGTTTTATTGAGTAGACTAGTCTGGGTTGCTCAGACTAATTTATTTATATTATAAGTATCAATTATAAGCAGTGTTAAATTAACATCTCTTTTTGAAAGAAGCATTTTTCATACTTAGCCTTCTCTGGGATATCGTAGTATTTTCTAATTAATGACTGTACCTACAAAATTCATTGTGAGGTTGTACATTGTTACTTCTTTAATTTCCTGGAGGGAGATTATGAGGAAAAGATGTAGTTGAGAAAAGTTTGCCAAATTTTAGTAGTAAAACAGTATGTCTAGGACTTGGATCCCATTATGTTCCCAGCTCTTTTGACAGATTTAAAAGTTTTCCTAATCTATGTTAGTATTTCTATTTAGAAATAACATTTTTGTAGTAGCCTCTTTTTTTTAAAGTCCAAAGACATTTAGTGTTATCTACCTCAAAGTGAAGATGTATAGGTTGTGTTTACAGAGATAATGAAAATACAAACCTTTAATTGTAATATCAAGGAAGGGTTAAAAGGATGTTGGGAATTTGTACTGAATCCAGAGGAGAGAGAACTCGATAATAAATGTTTGAGGCTGACTGTGTAAAAACACTTCGAGAGAAAAATAAGCAAGGTCACCCTGAACCATTTAGTCTGAATGACATTTCATGCAAATACCGTTCAGATTAGACTGACTGAAGCCATGACTTGAATTGCTGCTATCCTTGAGCTACTGAATAAGAGACTTGGATTATTGATGTTGTAGGTTGATCCAAGGAGCATGTTTTGTTTGCCATGTTTCCTGGGTGGATATGATCCACCCAACTTATGATCATACTGCTAATATTTTCAGAGGCTATGTTTCTTTGTAAGGTTAGTTCTGTGGTCATTACATACTAATCAAATTTATTTCTTTATGCCTCTTTTAAATCTTTCCCATTCTACAAACAATAGTATCACCATAATTTTACCAACTATAAGTGTGATTCTCTATTTAGGAAAGTGGGGGGCCAGAGGAGAGTAAGAGATAGAATATGAGCACGTGGTACAAAATTCAAAAATTAAAAGATCCATGGACTTTGTTTAACATGCAAAGAACTTGTCTCCCACTCTCTCAAGAAAAAAACTACACAAACTGAAAAATCAGTGGCTTCTTTTAGATCCACCAGAGAATTGAGGTCACAGGACAAATCATCATTCTGGAAACAGTAGAGAATACAGTTGAGTATGGATCAACTTATCTGAAGCCCTGGTAGGAACACTTAAACTGTAATTGTGTTGAATTACTAGAGGCCATGTGAACTAGCTTGGGAATATAAAACTCTTGAGAGCCTTTCCAGCCAACCGTTCTCCTTTGGATATGCAGCTATGGCACCCTGCCAGAATGGCATGATCCTGATGCCTCACTTCCACAAGGAG